TACTAGATCTTTCCGAATTAATCAAATAAAAAATATTTTTGCTAAAGTATCTCCGCGCACAGTCCTTTCTTCTGAATTTCAACATTACCTTTTATGAATGACCGTAACTTTTACTAAAAGAGAACTTTGAAACGATGTTCATTAGTAAATTTCCTTTTCGCGAACCGAACGACTGGCGAAAATTAAAATTATTATGTACACGGCCTCTTTCAAGATGATCATTAAAATAATGAATACGCTTTCAGAAATCTTAGGAAACCGAAAACTTTCTTATTCGTGTAATTTTGGAACATGTGACGACGAACGGAAAGAAAATTAATATTCCTTTAAGCCGAATACCAGGTTTCGTGATATTTGAATGTCAAAGAAACGTTTTTCGCTTCACATTACGAGTATTAAACAAACACATTAGTACATACGACAAATTCAATCTTAGAAATAGACCTACAAGCTTAAGATTGCTATTTTTTTGTTTCCGATGAAGACGGATCATATCGACGCTTGAAAGGCAAACGTGACTAAGCGACAATAACTGCTTTATACATAAATGATAGGCAATAACCATATTCGATGCGCAAAAAATTTATATTTCTAGGTCTATTAAAATCATTTCAATCCTACAGCTAGATTCGTTAAAATAGATTTTTTTTCAGGTATTTCAACTTTAAATTAGTTTACTGTAAAGTTCACGCATTGTATATGTATGTATATGTTCATAGCCTTTCAAGCGTCGATATAATTGTAAATGATTACAGCCGTTGATGGAGACAATGTCGGCGCCGATAGCCGCTTAGGACTCATTTAGACTGGTACATGGACGGTCTACTGGACTATATACTTCCTGGTGTCATAAAGCGGTGGGCTACAAAACACATATACACATTCACATTTTAACACATTCGTCTTTTATATACAGTACTGTCTGTGACGCGTAATAAAAGGTAGGCCTCTGTGCAGTTTTCATTGCGACAAACGATGTTAGGGGCTCCCTTTCAATTTGAAGTTATAGACGGAAAAAACCTTGGAAAACGGGTAGTGGCCTCAAAATTTTTATTTATTGAAATTTTTTTTACTGATAGTAGGACCTCTTATGAGTCCGTGCGGGTAGGTACCACCACCCTGCCTATTTCTGCCGTGAAGCAGTAATGCGTTTCGGTTTGAAGGGTGAGGCAGCCTTTTTAGCTATACTGAGAACTTAGATTTCATATCTCAAGGTGAGTGGCGCATTTACGTGGTAGATGTCTATGGGCTCCAGTAACCACTTATCCAACAGGTGGGCTGTGAGCTTGTCAACCCATCTAAGCAATAAAAAAAATCCGTAGTACAAATATCAATGTTAATAAATTACAAGCAACAAATATCAATGCTATAAATCTGCTAGTACTAAATTGCAAAACTAAATAATCGGAGAGGAAGTGATGTTCTGTCGCATGAAAGTTGGGAACGTAAGCGAACTCTGGCTCCAGACGTTATCAAAACGATTTTTTTTAGGATATCAACAATTAATATTATGAATGCCTGCTTTTAAAAGCCTGACCTGTCTCTCTTTGATCTAACGGAATCTTTTAACGTAAGTTTAAATAACTTTTGAAAGTCATCGTGGCCTAAAGTATCACACGCTTGGTGTATTCGTATCAAGCGATGTGTTTCTAATCCCGCAGGCAGATACCAATTTTTCTAATAACATACGTACTCAAAAAATGTTCACGACTGCATTCCACGATGAAAGAATAACATCGTGCAATAAAAAACGACGTCTTATGATTCCACACGGGTAGGTGTAAGTACCAGGTGGGGTTTGCCGTTGTACTGTAAAAACTGAGATTTAAAACTCATGTCTCAAGGTGGACAGCGGCATTGACGTGGTTGATGTCTATGGGTTCTGGTTACCACTTAACACCAGACCGACCGTGAGCTTGTCCACATATCTAAGCAATAAAAAAGAATTGCTTTGTTTTTATTAATTGTTAAGCTATTCCATAGCTTGTATCGCGGGCTTTGAGCGCGGCGACCGAATCAAGAAATTCCGTAACAAAAATAAACCTAACACCCCCCACTCCACCTACCATGTAGCTCGCGTTTAACACATTCACACGTTGCGCTTGTGTAGTGTTTGTGAATAAGCGCGTGCCCGTACCCGAATGCCACACTTTTTTTTTAATCTAATTTTTGTAATTAGCTTAGAGAAACGAAACAGGAAAAAACGGTTTTAAATTAAACAAAAAAATATTTATTATCATAAACTTCAATACGTAACAAGCATACACAATATTACAAACAATTCGTTAACTTAGTTTAGAGAAACAAATATTTTTCAGAGGTAGGAATTTCGATTCCTTTTTCAGAGCGTAATTGAATATTCTCCATTCAAAGAGATCGAATACAGAGAAGCCTTTGACAAACAAAAGTAAACTCTATTTTACAATATCTAAATTTTCTACCACAATAAATATTTTCGTTGTTCTTCTATCTTATATATTTGGCACAATACACTTGTATATATCAACATTGGAATAATTTAATATCTACATTTAAAACACATTTTCCAACAATTATATCTCTGACTTATTAGAATATATCGTTGTACTTAAAGAGTTAAAAAATCGTAGCAAATGTATCTGAATATGACAAATAGAACGTAGAAAAAATCATCAAAATAACAAATGCGAGATTTAAGTGTGAAATTAATTATTATTTTAATTACGTTTAGGAAGAAACGAAAGTAAATTGACTTAAAAAGTGTACAAAACTTAAAACCATACGTATTACTTGAAAACGCGTTATGTGTGCGATTTCAAAACGCGATTTCGATTTAAGAAAAAAGTATCGCACTTTTTCTCGCTGTAAAGTATGGAGGGTAGAAGTAAGGTGCACTAGCTTGTATAGGGCACAAGGTAAACAGCAAGCTATTATTGGAAGACTCACCGAAATAGCACTAGTGTAAGGAATTATATGAATATAGCAGTTTTAAGCAGAGTGAAGTAAGTTGGATTGAGGTGGAGTTTGGCAGTTTATGGTACTGTTTTTATAATCTTTCCACTTGCTGCTATGGCGCCATCTTAATTGACTCTCAGCAAACTTATAATATACTGAGATGGTACTCCATACTTCTACCCTCCATATTTAGTATTTAAATGTTAGTGTTGCTATAGTGAAGTGGAGTAATTCCCGAAGAACTGTAATTTCTTTGAGATTTCGATGGGTCACCATTTACTTAAATAAAATTGCCCATGCCGATTTGAATACAAGATCATAAATTTATCTATAATTACTAATCATGCACTTTTACACATAACGTATACATACTAAATATACTACAATAAATATTCATATTTTTCATATACAAATTGACTATTTGTCGCATTTCGTAATGAAATGAAATTTTATTTCATTTACTAACAACACTGAAATATATATACGTGTCTACTGAATTACTACGCATTAACATGATTAATCAATATAATTATATATAAGTTATACAGTTTAGGCCAATTTAATAAAATTCGATTTATATTTGTATCATCAGTTTCATATAGAATAATAACACTAAATCTACAGATATCTAGAATAATAACTAAAAAAAGGAATAACCAGAACATTTTATCTACATATAAGACCAACAGGTGTACTTATAACTAATTTTAAGAAGTTGTAATTTTACTATACGGAAATTGTACCATTAATAAAAGACATATGTATATCGCTCGTGTTCTTGGCATACATAAAATCTACATTCAAGAATAAACTAGAGTTCTTACAAACGACTATAAAAAGGATTCGTTATTTATTTGAAAATAAAGCTGTTAAAATCTTTTTATTAAAGTTTAAAATCATTTTAAGAACACATACATTCACTACGCGCCGAATAACGTGACCAGTCTGAACATAGCATTCGATAACCGCGTATAAAAATTCGTAGACAAAAAAAAACAACTATAGTCGGGGAGCCCCCATCAGGAATGGAGTTTATTAATGAATCATAAAGGTTCCTTATTCAGTTTCAATAAAATGTTTAGTTAATACATAATTATTACATGTTTAGTTAATACATATAATACATATTCATAAATATCTAATTACTTTAAATTAATATATGTAATTACTTATCTATACCAATATATAAATCTACAGCGGTTTTTACGGATGTTCCGTTATAACTACTGAACCATGCATCCGATTCACTTGAAACTTGGTATCCATGTAGAAAATACATGTACTTAATGGATAGGCTAATATTTTATATGAGTTTTGGACTCCCTAATAATAATGACAATAAATAATAATGTTAATTTTAAATGCTCAGCGAAGCGGGCGAGTACAGCTAGTTTGTTTATAAAAATAAGCAATTAAGCATTGTATAATATAAAGTATAAATTAGGCAGTTTTGACACACTCGAATCTCGACACTAACACGCACGCACACACGCACATGTAATAGAAAGAGATAGAGAAAAGGGGGGTGGTCAATGACCTCTTATTTATAATTTGTTTACCTTTTCATTCTTAATATTAATGGTATTCACGTGTAGCACTATTCTTATTTTTCTAGATCCAATAGATCCCCTAAATCGGATTCCATGAGCCATTTACATATCTACATCACGTTACATTTTACTATTGGATCAGCCATTGTTATCCTTAGGTAGTTTTTTGGCAATTTTTTATATAGAAAAAGTATTTAAATCACTTTATTGCTAGGTGATGAGGTCTTCCAATCAAATAAATACCATATTTTGAAAGACATTGATTTGTTCATTCATTGGATTGAGTTTTATTAAATTCTTAATATGCCGGCTGATGGAAAGGAAGGGCTCTCTATAGCAACTTCCTGGGACCGGACCCTTAAATATTTTAACGAAAAAGAAAACAAACTAATATGATGTTGCGCTTATATACTTGAAATGTGGGTTTTCTTGTATAGATTGTGGACGGCTCAGATGTGGCTTTATAAACCAAACTCCGTAATAATAATAATAATAATGAAGCCCTATGACAACGTTTTCACTAAATTATAATAAACATTAGCAACTATAAAACACTAAATATTTCACTTTACAATTGGTACTACAGAGAAGTTTACACAACTAATTAACTATATTGTCTGTTCACTTTTTCATGGCCAATGACCAGAGTTTATTGCTCAAATGCCTAACAAACAAAAGGCGAGCAAATTAGAACATCAGTCATCCGCGTCTATTTCGTCTTCGCTCATATCCTCTTCGCTGGTGCAGTCTGGCTGAGATGCTTCAGTTGTGCAACGATCACACCAGCATACGAACAGATAATTTTGAGCTAGTTCCTAATGAAGAAAAAATATTATATCATTTGCTTAAATGGGTGGACGAGCTCACAGCCCACCTGGTGTTAAGTGGTTACTGGAGCCCATAGACATCTACAATGTAAATACGCCACCCACCTTGAGATATAAGTTCTAAGGTCTTAGTATAGTTACAACGGCTGCCCCACCCTTCAAACCGAAACGCATTACTGTTTCACGGCAGAAATAGGCAGGGTGGTGGTGCCTATCCGTGCGGACTCCCAAGAGGTCCTACCACCAGTAATTACGCAAATTATAATTTTGCAGGTTTAATTTTTATTACACAATGTTATTCCTTCACCGTGGAAGTCCATCGTGAACATTTGTGAAGTGCGTATTTCATTGGAAAAATTGGTACATCGGCGGGATTCGAACACCGTTGCATCGCTAGATACGAATGCACCGGACGTCTTATCCTTTAGGCCACGACTTCAAAAGTTATTAGTAAATATCATGCAGGTATTATTAACCTCACACCTTCAACAAAATTGTCCATCTTAAAATGTGAAGTCAAAGTCTAAATTACATTGAAAAATCAGCTATCCTCCAAATCATGTTTTATAACCATTTTAGTACTCACCTAAGTACTAGGATTCATTTTATGCTCATATTTAAAAATGCAAATTAATAATTATTCATTGAAAAATTAACAACATTCCTTAATACATGTAAATTTATAATTTTATCAAGTTTGATTTAATTATAAAAACTATATTTAACTATTTGGAAAAATTTGATACTAACCCAAGAATTGGTCAAAATTGAAATCATACAACTTTCGAGTACAATAAGCAACTTATCAATTAAACCCATTGATTGGGCTTTATGGTTTTAGTACAAACCAAGTTCATTAATATGCTCGGAATATCTTACATGATATATCTCTGTGGCTACTAATGTAAAATCAAATCCTATCCTGATTTGCCAATACAACAGGCTGCCAGACCTACTTTACTACCAAATTACAACAATACCTTTTGCTTACCTTTTGCCTAGAATGACGCGATCTTCTCAGAGCACATTCATCTAAATAACTTATACATATCTCTTCTCCGGGCATTATTGGCTTTACAGCTTTTAATTGAATTCTATGATTGCCATACGGAAATGAGGACTCAGCATTTGGAGCACAACTGTGATTGCAAGCACTTTGTAACTGATATAGGCCTGATCCTTCTGTGTTTAGGAAAGTTCCGGATTCTGCAACAAATATAAATTACATCGATTTAATGGTACCAATGAGATAAAATTTTGTATTATAGTGAAATAAATTTAGCCTGCACTCAATAAAATATTTAAATATAAAAAATTACAATGAAGCAACAAAATTAACTATATTTATGAATATTAAAGATATTTATCAAAACAAGCCAAGTGTAACTTATCTCAAATGACCATTTATTTTTACATTTTGTGTGTATTGTGTGTGTATTTATTTGTTAATGTTTTTTAAGGATCACAAAATTAACTAGACAGATTTTTTGAAACTGGATTGTTGAATTTCAATTCATGCCAAAATGGTGACTCAATAAAGGTAAGAAATAGTTTTTTTTAATATCTACCAATACAAGTCTAACCCATAGTCAATATAAGACGAAATAATGATAATGATGATGAAATGTTTCTGAATATTCCAAATATTAGTATTTTCTTTTTCTATATTTTTTACTACTTTACATGAGCATACAATTAGCTATCACTGACAGATATTTATAGGCTTTGGTGAACAATTAATGCGAGTTGGATCACAAGCTGCACATTTAGTACAATAAAGTACTAGCCAAATTTGTATTTTAAATGATACTTACCATCCTGAACATACTCATAAAGTTTGTCTATAAACAAGTCCAACTGCTGCCTTTCATCATCTGACATGGTGAGCTCTAGTACGGCATTTACCCACATTGATAAAGGACTTGTACCTATACCTTGGCCATTTGTACCTATCAGCGCCATTAGAGAGCAAAAACCTTCTGGTGAGAGGAACTGAAAAAGAAGAAATTGGTTTCAAAATTTCAATGGTAACTTTCACTCTTTGCATTAAAATATAAAGTAACTAAAAACAAAAATAGTTGAATGACTCTGTCTCCATATCAAAATTACTATGTGGAATTCAAGCCTAAATATTTTTAAATTATTGGATATACGGGTGAGAAATTCTTTGCTCATTTTTAAGAGACCCAATGGAACAAATGGTGTGTTACACATCACACATGAAGGTGTCTTGTTAACTTGATGATAAACTTTGTAGTTTATAAAATCCAATACCTCCTGAATGTATTCACCATTAATAACATTAATGGTAAGTTCTCGCAATGTTTCCAATTGACTAGTGAACTGTTCTCCGAGTAGCTTGTGTACTAATTCTGCATCTTCATTGACTGTTCTATGGCAGAACTGTTTGAATTTCAATGCTGCCGCTTGGGGATCTGAGCTCTGCTGTATAAATGCCAGTATTCTTACAAGCAGCATTATGTTTGTTGTTTCAGGAGGGTAGTGCATCTGTCTGAAAATATTTTCATAGTAGTATTTTCATTACTTTTGGTAAGTCATAAACATGTTTAAAACTATATTATAGTTTCTCTCGTTTCAAATACTGTGCAGTTACAAGTCACAGATGACTAAGATGTTCTTAGTTGACTTCTGAATAATGTGCTGATGAAAGAATATTATGATAATAAAAAAATGTGACATTTACTATAATAGTTTTAATTGTATTTTGTACTAAAAACCTATGACTTGGAATTCATGTCTCAATATGGGTGGCAACATTTACAATGTTAATGTCTAGCCTTCAGTGATCGCTTAGCATTCAAAGGTAATGAACTAATTATTACTTCTTTACACTAAAGATAGTTAAATTGTAGTATCATTGTGTAGGGTAGGTATCATCAGCCTGCTTTTCTTTTAAGTAGGTGACATTCCAATTTGGAAGGTAAACAACCTCAATTGGCAATACAACCTTGTGTGTAAAAGTGGAATGTATCTTTCATTTTGTGATATCTATCACCTCCAATAACCAATTGACGCCAGGTAGCATTTTAGATTCAAGCTATGAGCCAATATTTCCAATTAAAAATGAATTGTATATTCTTTAAATTTACTCACTTCCAAGCTTCTAGGAGAATCATAATAGGATGCTGAGCATCTGCTGTATCATGACACAGAATTCTATGGTAGGTGTCATAAGCTCGTTGTCTACAAGCATCTGAACAATACAAAACTTCACATTGGCTGCAACCTGTCAAGTTCTCTAAATTTGTCTCGTAACAGTCAGAATGTGGTAAAACTATATCTGGTTTGCATGATAAACGCCTCACATTCTGTTCCGGAGTTTCTAGCGGCCTGTAAAAATAGAAATCACCAATCAAAATATTTTTTGGACTTCGTCCTTTATCCCTAATCTTTACTAATTGTCATATAAACTAGTATTTACCAAATATTGAATAAATACCGATTTAATTATAATATATCTATGAATTAAACATAACACTAATACATACTTTAACAATATAAGCTTTAACATTTGCAGAATTACTGGAAATTTTTTATGGACAAAGGTCGATTTATAAAGGTGGGTGGTTTTAAATACTGTACTTATCCAAGTACATTGTATGTAAAAGGTCCTTCCTCGTGTATGCTTCGTATCTACTACCTTACCTCATACAATTATCACAAGCAAGATATCTATACGCCGCATTCCAAGCGAATTGACAAGAAACCAAGGGATCCTCTTCAAGAATTACATCGCCTTGATTATACTGTTTTGTAGCAAATAATCCTTTGCCCTGTTAAAATTTGAGCCGCTTAATAACAAACACAAAGTATAATTTTTCGACCCAAATAAAAGCGAATTTTACCTTTTTGGTATTATAATTTCTTACTTCAAATCCATCCATATTTAAAAATGTATAGCAATTTAATATCGAAATATTATGAGTATAAATGCAAAATTTATTTATTTATTTCGATGATGCCTTGCCTTTATTTGAGGTTAGATACTTTTTTTATGGGATTTAATGACCTGGTCTCTAAGACCTTTAAGTCATGAGATTAAACACAGATAGATAAGACATTTAAAAACAGGAAGTTAATGCAAAAGGTGGGTTAAATTATTTACAGTTTCCACTGACTTTTTGGCGGGAACGCGAGGAGTGAAATTGTGTAATTTGTTTTATTTTGTCTATTTAGTGCTTCTTCAGGTTTAAATCTGCAATAACGGTGGTTTATTAAATTGCTTATTATATGTGAAAGTGCACAAATGTGGAAAAATGAAACAAATCCGCTGAACGTAACTTCTTGGTATCCTCCAAAAGGCCCAATGAAAAAGTCTCAGTAAATGACCAACATTTTACTGAGATTATATTTCATCCCATATCATCTCACCTCATTTCATTTCATGCCATATTTCATATTAATCAACTTCATTTAATTTCAAAACATCAATTTTCATTTAAAAAACTTTTCATTAAAATTAAAATAAGACTTCACCTAAAAGTCTTAATTACCAGGTCATGAAATCCCTTTAAAAAAAAGCAGCTCCACTTTCCAATAGGACAAGCAAAGGTTATAGACAATAGAGCCTAATCCGTTAATTTAACAAAAATTATACAGTGAAAAATGTTAAGGATGAAATGAGGCGAAGTTCGAGACAGTAATCAAATGAAACAAACTAAATGAAACGAGATGGGATAAAAATAATAGAATGATTGCTTAAAACAAATTTAACCACAATTTAAACATAATAATAATTTAAAACAAGTTGATATATTGGGATACATTACCTTTAGTTAAACAAATGTATACCTGGGAGAGGCAATCCGATTAGATAAGCCCAACTTCGAGAGGTCAGCAGGTGTATACAACTCGGCTGGGTAGGGTTCAGTAAATTAAAAAATGTGTTCTCCACACACACATGCCACAGGATTAACCATTGAACTGAGAGTGGGCAGCCCACATAGCGTAAAGATCGGACTTCATAAAGAGCAGAAAGAATTGCAAAGTAAAATCGTAATATAATTTACCTAAAACAATTTTTTTTAACATTCTACAAAATAAAAGGAATCTAAATTTAATTACATCAAAGTTACTATATAACACGCCTTTATTAGCTTTGGTTTGCTATAGGTATAACTATATACTAATTATCAATGTAGTTATAATAGCGGTAGGCAGCGGCTTGGCTCTGCCCCTGGCATTGCTAAAGTCCATGGGCGACGGTAACCACTCACCATCAGATGGGCCGTATGCTCGTCTGCCTACAAGGGCAATAAAAAAAATTATAATAAATATGTAATTTAATCAAATTTTATTGAAGGCTAGCTGACCCGGCAGACTTCGTAGTGCCTGAGTCGATGAATAAAATACCTAAGCTTTTGTCTATAATAAAGTTAAAACAAACAAAAGGAATCCGTCCGATGGGAGGGACATCAAAGGAAAAACAAAATTGTTATTTTTATTAAATTCCGAGCATTTTCATATTTATTTTAAACCTTTTAAACCTTCTCTGGACTTCCACAAATCATTCAAGATCAAAATTAGCCAAATCGGTTCAGCCGTTCTCGAGTTTTAACGAGACGAATAGCAATTCATTTTTATTTAAAGAGAAGAAGAAAACATCTATTAGATAAAAAAATTCTACATACAATCAACAACCGATGATAATATTGTATGATTTTGTAATTTTGACACAATATATCGACCAGGAGTCCTTTTAGCGTCGTTCTCCTCATAACTGAGGGTCGTGACTCCCTCGCTACATCAATCTCTCTTGTACGAATGCTCTCCATCTACTGCGATCCTTGGCCTCGTGGAGTGCATCGTGGAGCTTGATGTCCAGACAAGACCGAATTTGATCCTAGCATCTCGTGGGACTGCGTCCTCTGGGATGTTTACTGTTGTCTGTTTATAAACACTCCATGAATCAGAGCGTTTTTAAATAGCCCCTCACCCCAGAACCCAGTCCCCTCAAATATAACCGTTCAACATTTACCCTCAACCTCGCCCGTCACCATCAACTGCTCAAGATTGTGTCCCTCCTTTCGAGAAATGTGTCCGAAGAATTCCAATATTCTACGAATGCATATTGTGGAAAGTCACTAGTACCGACCAGGAAGTCCTAGTGTAAAAAAAATTGTTAATTTTACAGGATTATTACATACAATGCCATACCGCGACGATAAATCTTCATTAATAACAAGAAAAAGATTCTACAATTGCAAATTTGTTTTTAATAAATAAAAAAGTCATTGGTCGAGTAGAAAGGTAACAAATATTAAATTAAATTAATATAAATTATGGAAATTACAACGAATAGTTCAACTATTTACAACTAGATCTATCTACGTCTATATCCACAAATATAATTAAACAATCACTGGCCACTGTTTAGTTGCCAGTTTCTGGCTGAATGGTCAATATTTCAATGCAATTTACGTACAATAATGTCACCGGCTAATGTTTTGACATTTGTGTTGACATTCAGAAATGGCGGCGAATGTCTCGTCATAATAAAACTTTGTTTTCGGAGTTTTTTCTGATTTAAACGAAGACAATGCACATAAAACAGGTAAAACAGTCAATAAGTTTTACTTATGACCAAATTAAAAACATAATAGTATTTTCTGTCATTTAATTTTATTACTTTTGTTTGAAGTGACGCTATTTGTTTTTACAGGTAATAATCCAAGGATTCAAGAGTTACCGAGAGCAAATTGTTGTAGAGCCCTTTGATAAACGACATAATGTAGTCGTGGGACGTAATGGTTCAGGGAAAAGTAACTTTTTCCACGGTAAGCGCATTTACAAAACTAAAATAATTGACACAAATGTTCAGATGCTCCAAAAGTCTTAGGAATTAAAAAGCCGCTTCCTACGCATTTAACATTTTTATTTACATACCTATATAAGTTAACGAATAACAATCACAATCTATAACAGATCACACACAGTCATCTGACCCCACACTAAGGCTCCTTGCGTTGTGGGTACCAGAGACTGACATACTTATACAGTATAAACTCAATAAAGACACTGAAGGGACTGCAGTTTATGGTGTTACTCCACTTCGATAAAGCGGCACGACACGAGAACCCTCTCATCGTGGCCGCCGGTAACTACATTCCCGATCCTGCGGACAGAATGGAAAGCAGTCGACGTCGCCCAAAACACGTCATCTCGGATCCTCCCGATCCACTAACGGTGCTTTTAGGTACTTCAAGCACCGGTCTCGCCGGATCTTCTCAGTGGGTCGCGTTTCCGATCCGGTGGTAGATTCTGCGAAGCACGGCTCTTGCTAGGGTTCGTGTTAGCAACATCGTCAGGTTTGAGCCCCGTGAGCTCACCTACTAAAGTTAGGGTTACGCTGACATAGCCGCTAGGGCTATCAGCTTAGGTAGGAAAAAAAAAAAAAAAAATGTTATAGAGAGTTGTCATTAAACATGATATAGATATGACAAATCAGAATTATAAAAAAAAAAGTTCATTTCAAACTAGCTTTAGTAGCTATATACTTAAAAGTCTTATTTGATCGTTTTTGCATATAGTTTGCTATTTTTGTGTGACGTCTTTTGCTGCACCAGTAATTTTGTTGTGATTTTTTACTTAATAAAGTGAGGCACTTAGGCGTGTTGAGAGTCCAATTTAATTCGCGACAGATTCGTTATTACTAGAAAGGAAAGATTCAATTTATATATAATTATAAATATATATATATACATTTATGGCTTAGTTGGGTAGCGAGCTCACAGCCCACCCAGTGTTAAGTGGTTCTGGAGCCCATAAACATTTACAACGTAAATGCGACACTCACCTAGAGATATAAGTACTAAGGTCTCAGTATAGTTCTCTTTTGCCTATCGTCTTTTAGTTTGAATGCATTTAAAAAAATCTTCAAATGTTCCTGTTCACTTGTGAAGTTAAGTTTTTCATGTCTCTGAAAGTACATGTAAAAGCTTTTTGATTTAGGCAATGTTGTATTCTTGCTAAATTATATTACTGGTATTTTATTATTGATAAACTATATTTATTTTAGAATAGTCTTCATAGCTTGGTTTCTAGACACAAACATACAATTGAATTATTCAGCTGTGAACAAATCCAAAGTAAAACAAAGCAATTTAACTGTCAACATTGAAATATTGTAATCACTACTATTTGTATTACTTTCAGCCATTCAATTTGTACTCAGCGATGAATTCTCCCATCTCAGACCTGAGCAGCGGCTGGCCCTACTGCACGAGGGAACGGGCCCTAGAGTCATTTCGGCTTTTGTCGAAATTATATTTGACAACTCAGACAATAGGATACCTGTAAGTTGATTAAATGAATTCATCAGAATAGAATATCTTAATATGAAAATCAACTTATAATTATAATATTAAAATGCTTATGTAAGAATGTTTTAAATTTATAGTATAATGGTTATATAGGAAAATAATTATTAAAAAGGTAATTCGCTTAAAAAAAGACTTACAAATTCTTATGCAGGATGTAGCTAATAGCTTGCTAATGGTTTGAATCTTAAAGATTTTTTTAAATGTAGAACTATTTGTCCAGTCACATTTCATTATTCCTTATCTCTTGATAGAGCTAGAACTAGAAAAACATGATGTTCATTAAATTATTTTGTTGATTTTATAGTCACTAAATATTTTGTTACAGATTGAAAAAGATGAGATATTTTTACGACGTGTCATTGGTTCAAAGAAGGATCAGTTCTTCCTCAACAAAAAAGTTGTTCCACGTTCAGAAGTACTGAACTTGCTTGAAAGCGCTGGGCTTTCTAATTCCAACCCATATTACATTGTGAAACAGGGAAAAGTAAATATTCTTCATCATAATACCTGTATCGTTTTTATATTCATAATTGGGTAGATGATATTGGCTCCCCCAAAACTTAGTGGTTACTGCAGAATATAGACTGAAATAAATGTTAATATGTGATAATAATTCCACACAGTTATAATTATGACTATCAGATACTTTAAACTGAAACTCATTCAATGCAAATAGTGGAAATAGTCCTACACCCATAAATTATGACATATTTTACAGAAAACATATGTGTTTTGTGGTCTTAGATATAATTACATAACATTACTAGTGCTAGTGCTAATTCATTTGTAAGTACATTCAAGTTGTTTAGAGGAATGTAAAAAAATATATATATGTATATTTATTTATTATTATTATTTTTTAAATTTTAAACTATTCTTACAGATTAATCAAATGGCCATAGCTCCTGATTCTCACAGACTGAAACTTCTAAGAGAAGTAGCTGGTACAAGGGTTTATGACGAAAGGAGGGAGGAGTCTGTAGCTATACTTAAAGAGACTGTTGGAAAGGTAAGTCGATAAATGTATAAACAACCAAATAAATAGCATTTTACTCTTGAAACTGAAAACATTAAATTTTTTCATACATGTATAAAATACATAGAATTATATAGTTTTTTAGTCGTCTTGGGTTGTAATATAAATGTCTTTTCAAACACAAAAGGACACGAAGAAAGTTTATATTTAAGACGAACACAAAATATACAAAGAAGGAGAAAGTAACAAGAAATAGATAGTCCAAGCAACACAAGCAGTACACGAAACAAAAAGCAATAATTATACGGGATGCGCGCTCGCAAGTCAGATTTCGACTGGTGGCGGTGGATCGGTAAAAATGCGACCGATGTACTAGCGAAATATATCGCCGCCGCTATACTGCAGTTATCGCCTGACTTTGCTTGTGAATTTTATTTTGTTAAGTGTAAATAATGTTTGATGATGATTGTGAGATAAATGAATGTGTTGATATAAAATAAAGTATGTATGTGTTGTTGTGTAGTGCAATTATAATAAAATATTATAAAATAAATAAATACATGTGAGTCACCCACAGTTTGTTAAAGCTAATACCAATATCATTCATGTTGTTGAGAAATATTGTTCAATTCTAGGTAGAAAAAATAAATGAATTCCTCCAAACCATTGAAGAACGTTTGAAGACTCTAGAAGAGGAGAAAGAAGAATTAAAAGAGTACCAGAAATGGGACAGAGCTAGACGCGTTCTAGAATTTATTATCCATGACACTGAACACAAGGAGAACAAAAGGAAACTGGAAGAGGTAAACAACTAAGTATTTTATCTCATTTTGTCAAAGGGGTTTTTTTTTTCTTCCTCTAGTTGATTTTAAAGTGTGTTTTATTCAAATATTATTATGTTTTAATAATCTAACTCAATCTATTTAAGTTTGTTAGCCTAAAATAGTGCCAATTTTGTATGTTTTAAAAATTATGTGACAAAGAAAACAGCATAAATACAATAGAATAAATAAAAAAAAAGTACATAATATAAGAGTGTGCTATGGTCAGTTTATTAGTTTAATTTAATGTAGTTGGAGAAACTGAGATCGAACAGTGGAAAAGAACAACAACATTATGCAGATTTGGTCCGAGAAGCTCAAGAACACGTGAGGGAAGCTAATAGGTAAATATTTACATTCAAACTTGAATTTAAAAATACAACAAGCCTCAATTTGGGATATGGATTTTTTTTACAATATCACTTTATTACACACAACATGCTCTACTATCTAATCATGTAATAAATGTAATTTTACCAAATAATAATCACAAAAAAATGCTGCAAATTTATTTCTATTACGCAGTGTAATGCTTGCTTTGTGGTCAGGGTTATGACTACATTCATATAAAAAGCTTTCTCTTCGCGCAGGAAGCTGAAGGAAGCGCGCAAGGACGTGGCGGCTGCAAGAGAGGAAAAGGACATCCTCTCCACCGAACAACAACAGCTGCTGAAGGAAAAAACGAAATTAGAACTCGCCATAAAGGACTTGACCGACGACGTTGACGGCGACAACAAATCGAAGGCAAGTTCCTTACTGTTCCATTGCTAGATTTTTATTCAATACTAGCTGACCCGGCAGACTTTGTAGTGCCTCAATCGATAAATAAAAGACCTAAACTTTTGTATAAAATAAACTTAAAACAAACAAAAGGAATCCGTCCGACGGGGACACATCAAAAGGAAAACAAAATGGTTACACCTTTTGAACCTTCTCTGGACTTCCACAAATAAATTAAGATCAAAATTAGCCAAATCGGTTCAGCCGTTCTCGAGTTTTAGCGAGACTAACGAACAGCAATTCATTTTTATATATATAGATATTTTTCTTCGTTCTCTCTGCAAGAAAAACCTTGTCGATAAGTCGATTTTGAGTCGTTCAGTCATCGAATTATCTAAAACAAGCGGCCCTCTCCGACCCCGCTCGGGTCTTTAACAAAAATTTCAATGCTATTTGACGTTGTTTTATTTTTTTTAAATAAAAGAACACTTATTGCGGCATAACTGTGATAGTTAGACATATGCTGTCGCGACACTTTTTGTAATTAATAATGTGTTCTACAAAGTCGTAGTACATTATTTTATTCTATTATCAGTAGTTTTCGCAGGGCACGCGATTAAAGAATATTTTAGGTCATTTTTTTACATCTCGGGTTACATTATTGGAGTTTTAGTAACGATCCCTAATTTTTTTCAAAAAAGATTAGGTATAGCCTATGTCATTCGGGAATAGTGTAACTTCCAAACAGTGAAATAATTTTTCAAATCGGTTCAATAGTTTCGGAGCCTATTCAATACAAACAAACAAATCTTTCCTCTTTATAATATTAATATAGATAATCCGTTTATAATGTTGTCCGTTTGTATTTGTGTAAAATAAATAAATAAGTAAATAACTGAGAACAAATTACGCACGGTCATTCGGCACGAAATTAAGATTCCTTGTTTTATGGGTACCAGAGACTCACATACTTAACACATCGCACATTGCGGCTTGGCTAGCAGTAGGCAGCGGCTTGGCTCCCCCCGGTGAAGGTCAAGGGGCGACCTGAGGGAGTGAGGCCGCGCGGCGCGCTACCAGCACTCTAGCGCGCTGCCGTGGAGTGAATAGAGCGACCGGTCGACGGTGTATCGCGTCCCGACCCGGCAGGCTGGTTCTGGTCCAGCGGGGTATTCCGGGACACCAGCGGCACCGTCTGGGCGGCCCGACGGGCTGCCGTACCGAGACGGCCGACGTTTCAGAGCCTTCGATTCGCCTCGAAGGCTCCGTCGGCTGGGCGTCCTTGGGGTGAGCCGCGCCGTCTGGTTGTAGTGTTGACCGCGGTAGCCCCCCTACCTCATCCGGGTTCTGACCTCGGAGGGGATCGGACGTCGGGTGTAAGAGTGCAGGGGAGTCGTTTAGTGGGTGGGTCCTAAAATCCTTGGGCCCGCGGTCTGCTCACAACACCATGCAGATCGTTGAGTCTCACATACCCCGCGCGCCCCTTTTGCGCGGGGACCTCGTAGGAGGTTCGGCCCTCAACCCGAAAAAAAAAAAAAAAAGGCAACGGCTTGGCTAGCAGTAGGCAGCGGCTTGGCTAGCAGTAGGCAGCGGCTTGGCTCTGCTCCTGGCATTGCTGAAGTCCATGGGCGACGGTAACCACTTACCATCAGGTGGGCCGTACGCTCGTCTGCCTACAAAGGCAATAAAAAAAAAAAAATGGTTTTGATTAGTTGTGCGCACATGCCTTATGTTACAAGCTAAAATTTTTACTTGTTGTTATATATTGTATTTCTTTCTTTTTTAGCTTGTTATTGTGTGCCTAATAAAAAAATAAAATGTTTAGGTAAATACATAATATATAGATACTGCATTCTCTTCTGGCAGTCGAAACCAATAAAAGATTTTCCACTAATAATAATCTTTAAGACCTTGAAGTCACGAACTTTTTTCTCCTACCTACGCCGAAAGTTCGGTTTTGGTCCCGCTGTACAGGGTAAAAAGTCTAACTTTTCCTCCTTGGCTCGGTACTCCACGGGAAAAAAGTAGGACATCTCATCCCGCGTGGCAATTTTACACGCGGGAGGAAATGTCCTACTTTTCTCCATTGGTGCACAATGTACTATTATTTTGTGTCATTCATGTTTGTTGTAATGATCAATGAAATCTTATAAGTCTAATACGTCAGTCCCAGTATTTATAACCATAAATATGATGCTTACAACAGGAACGCGCTGAAGCCGAATTGGAACGCTTAAGACAGCAAATATCAGAGAAAGAACGCGAGTTAGAAGAACTGAAGCCGAAATATGAGGAGATGAAGGCTCGTGAAGAGGAATGTACTAGAGCGCTCTCTCTCAACCAGCAGAAGAGACAGGAGTTGTACGCCAAGCAGGGGAGAGGCACGCAGTTCACCTCCAAGCAGGACCGGGACAGATGGATCGAGAAGGAGCTCAAGTAAGCACATTACGTCATCACACTGGTCAGACAATCGCGGCCCGTCTTTGGTGTTACCGGAGCCCATAGACATTTTTTTTGGTAGAATTTTTCGTTGTTAGGAAAGGCAAAGGGATCTAAGCCCAAACAGCCTTAGCCCATAGACATCTACGATGTAAATGCCGCCACTCACCTTGAGATATAAGTTCAGTATAGAGCTAGCTGCTATACTATAAAGCTAGATCAGTAGATAGCTAGAGCTCTCAGAGCACAAAGAGAGAAGAGCATATAGGCAGGGCGGTGGTACCTACCCGCGCGGATTCACAACTGGTCCTACCACCAGTACACTACATCTTGTGGAAGTCTCTATTGCAATAGTATAGTGTTTACTGCTTATCCTAACCTTCAAACTGAAACATTATAGCTATAGAGTTGTTATAGACACGTACCTATTTCTTGAGGTAGTAAAATCGGTCCTTTCAAACGTTTTTGACAATTCATCCGTGAGTTGTGTAAAATTTATTTAATATGAAATGTAAATGTATTATAAAATATACCAAAACATTATTTTTAAACAATTTAAAATTACATATTAAATTTTGTATAGATAATAATTCATTATGAAATCCCTTCAATAGATCACTGAACAAGCAATTGAAAGACAAGAAAGATCACGAGAGTAAGTTACGCGAGGATCTAAGGCGGGACGCCAACAAGCTGACAGAACTGGAGAAGAGAATCGAAGAGACCACGAAAGAGATGGAGAGGCAGCGCGTGGCCATCGACGAGCACAACAAGCAGTATTACGAATGTAAGAAGAGGAAGGACCAAGAGCAGAGCGCCAGGAAGTGAGATTCGTTTTTTCTTTTTTTTTTACTGAAGCCTATATACGTCTACAACGTCAATATCGCCACCCCACCCTTCAAACCGAAATACTGTGAGGGAGAGATATAGAGTCCCTTCTTTATTTGGATCACTCGTAATTAACACCACAGTTGAAACAATAGGAATTTTATTGTTGCAGCGGCTTACACAGTTCTAAGTTATACACATTATTTTTTTCGTGTTATGTATTTTCGGCGGTAAAAATGCCCCGTGTCATAGACTATCTTCTTTTTTCCACCTCTCGTGCGTTCTGGCTTATGCATCATAAAAAGGTGCGTTCTTAAACGCCACAACTGCTTCACGGCAGAAATAGGCAAGGTGGTGGTACCTACCCGTGCGGACTCACAAGAGGTCCATTAATTACGCAAATTATCATTTTACCGATTTGTTTTTTACTACACGATGTTATTCCTTCACCGTGGAAGTCAATTGTGAACATTTGTTAAGTACATATTTCATTAGAAAAATTGGTGCCTGTCCGTGGGATTCGAACACCGGCACACTTGCATAGCTTGATACTAGTGTACTTGACGTCTTATCCTTTAAGCCACGACGACTTTTCATAATACTCTTTTGACTTTCTATTTCCATAAAATATTTTACAATTTAAAAGCAACCTTAAGTCCTAGGGTTAGGGATTCCTATTCATTAACTGGCGTCAGAAATTGGTTAATACAACATGTTTTCTCCACGTCGGTCTAGTTTTCAGCTATGCATTGTTCCCAGTCGGAGATCTTTGCCTATAATATTTGATATTCGAATCGTTATGTTTTTGTTTCGTATGTGTATATAATATAAATTTGCATTACAGCGAACTGTGGCGCAAAGAGACTTCATTGACACAAAATTTGTCGTCACTAAAAGACGACTTGGCAAAGGCCGATCAGGCGTTACGATCCATGGCGGGAAAGGTAAAGAAAGCAATGTTAATAAAATTAATATTTTTGATTAAACACTAAACAGAAATGTCGACCCTCGTGTACCTTGATGTCGAAATCTACAAGTAATAGTTTGAATTAATATCTAAAGTGATTAAAAATCAATTTATACAGTTCTATACTTATTTGTAAGAGTTTCCAGTTTTTGTCCAGTATAATGTTGTGTTTCCCCGCAGCTAGATAATTTTCGAATTATATCCTTCTGCAAGTTTATTGAAACTATAATAAGAACCTAAGCTAAGAGACTATGTATACTCTGCCCTTATTTTTCACTGTGTACTCAGACCAGAGTACATACAATTAGGAATACTTATAATTGGTGGTACATACCGGTGAAGCCTTTGATGTGTGTATTAATAAAATGAAATATTTCTTTATAATTAAAATATATCACTTAATGTATATTATTTATTAAAATTTGGCCTTTACTACATTACAAAGTTTCCATATAAAAATATGTTCTGAGAACTGTAAAGATTTTCTATTTATTTTTCCAGCCAATTCTGAATGGTCGAGACAGTGTCCGCAAGGTGCTGGAGACTTTCCAGGAGCGCGGAGGCGACTGGGCCAAAATAGCCACCCAGTACTACGGGCCCGTCATCGAGAACTTCACCTGCGATAAGACTATCTACACGGCCGTCGAGGTACACTATCTATTCTATTTATTTACCTAAATAATTCTGAAGAATCAGCTTCATCAAGTGCAATGAGAGTAAAAGAGAAGTGCCCTGAGGAATTATGCCAACAACTCCTTTTTACCATCACACCGCTTGTCACCGGAGCAGAATACATCCATATTACCTGGAGCCACTGCGTTCATCCACATTGCGTTTCCAGAGATCATTTTTGCCACGTACCATCCGGCTTTGGAATGTGCTCCCCTCCAGGGTGTTTCCCGAGTGCTATGACATGTCCTTAAAAATAAAAGAAAATAAATTATCAATAAAATTTTGAACCCACCCCGATTTTTCCTTTAAGTTTTAAATCACTTTTTTGTTTTATCACACTAACTTGAGCTTTAATAATAAAAGATTTACATTTTTTTTTAAATGTAGTACTTGTGAAGAAAGTTATTAATAAATAAAAAAAGCTAAGCTGAAAATACACTCAATACAGTTTACTAAATATTAAAACCATTTTTAGTCATGGTTCCTGTTAAAATAACATCAAGTACTTGTTATGTGTCAGGTAACAGCGGGTAACAGACTGTTCCACCACATCGTAGAATCCGACACTGTAGGAACGAAGATCCTCAAAGAGATGAACAGACAGAACCTACCCGGAGAAGTCACCTTCATGCCCTTGAACCGACTGCAAGTACGAGATATGGTTTATCCCAATGACAATGTAAGTGAATATTGAAATATGTATTAATTATATTATTATGTATGTATATATGTATGTATGTATATGTGATTGTGTATATATGTATAATTTTTTGTGTATGTATTTGTAACTTAATATAAATTACATTGCACCCACCACTATTAACTCTGCACTATTTTTGGTCGACTGGTAGAGAATAAATCCGCCAATTAAAATTTTATATGAAGAGTAATAAATAAATAATTACAATAAATAAATTAAAAGGGCGTGATATAAAGTTTTTTTTTATATTCTAGAACACAAAATATTTGACAGATATCTGAATCTCGCTAAAGACATTTTCATAAGTTTGGATATAGATAGATACATAAGCTCCGAACAACATTTGAACCGTCGTTCTCCCCTTTGTTATTACTTCTCCTAAATATGTAATGAGAGTTTATATCGGTCTAAGCTGATTCATTTTGATTTAATGTCTATCAAATACTTTAATAACAGTACAGGAATCTAAATTTTTTAAACTGTGTTTTTAAATTGATTCTATCACCCCGTTTGCCTTCACCATTGCTTACAGAACGCAATAGCGATGGTGCAAAAACTCAAATATGATCCGAAATACGCGAAAGCAATGAAGTACATATTCGGGAAGACGCTCATCTGCAGGAATCTCGAATGCGCCACGGAACTGGGGAAGCAGTTCCATCTGGATTGTGTCACTTTAGAAGGAGATCAGGTGAGCTCACACTGCCTTTGGACATAGTCGAGAGAGTCGCAGATCGGACTCTACCTACCCGGTAATACAACGTCGAAGTCTCGAATTGTATTTAAAATATTCTATTACTTTTTTTTTATTGCTTAAATGGGTGGACGATCTCATAGCCCACCTGGTGTTAAGTGGTTACTGGAGCCCATAAACATCTACAACGTAAATGCGCCACCCACCTTGAGATATAAGTTCTAAGGTCTCAAGTATAGTTACAACGGCTGCCCCACCCTTCAAACCGAAACGCATTACTGCTTCACGGCAGAAACAGGGTGGTGGTACCTACCCGTGCGGACTCACAAGCCGTCCTACCACCAGTTATTACGCAAATTATAATTTTGCTGGCTTGATTTTTATTACACGATGTTATTCATTCACCATGGAAGTCAATCGTGAACATTTGCTTAGTACGTATTTCATTAGAAAAATTGGTACCTGCGTGCGGGGTTCGAACACCGGTGCATCGCTTCAACACGAATGTACCGGACGTCTTATCCTTTAGGCCAGGACGACTTCAATCTGTAATTTCGTAAAAATAATAAGAATATTTGTTGGAAACTGTAGGTTACAAGTACTCCACGAGGAAGTGCAGTTTGTATTGTAGAAAATTTACATTCGTTTTTTCTAATATTCATAATATTTGGGACATGATATACATATTATTATATTTAGGGGTTAAAGTATGAAATTGCCGATTTGTACTGAAAATTTTAAATTCGTTCGCAAACTCAAAATTGATATTGCGAGCTGTTTCTGCAGCGTTAGTTCCGCGTCGGAACTCTTATTGAAAAATCACTCAAATTTTCGAAGTATCCATCTTTCTTGTCTAAGCTGAATAAATAAAACAACTGAAAGTCGATAATCGAATGTCGCACATTTTTTAAAAGAAGAACCTCATAGGTACTGTTAGCGATGCATTAAATATAAATTTGGAGCTGTGTTTGGTATATTTGTTGTATGTTTGTGTGGTGAATTCGTTTTGTTAAAAGAAGTTAGCAAAAGTTTTAGCTTAGTTTTTAAATTAACAAGATTTGTAAGAGGGAGTGCGCGGGGTTCAACGAGAGGTGAGGGAGCCTCGGACCGGTGACCTGAGGCGAACGAAGTCAGTGCTGTTACCAAAGCAATGAACGCAGCGCGCTTCCTAACCACTAAAGTTTTTGTCATCCGACGCCACTATAGGAAATAAATATTTTTCTCACAAAAAAACCTCTATTAGTGCATTCCACAAACCTACGAACCAACATAAATTATAGGTACCATTTGAATAGAGTTTCACTTAAAAATCTCAAACCATGCAGGTTCTATGTCAATTCGAAGTACCTATTACAATAGAACAGCAATTTCATACTGTAACTCCTATTATTAATAATAAATAAAATCTGTATATATAAAAATGAATTGCTGTTCGTTAGTCTCGCTAAAACTCGAAAACCGCTGGTCCGATTTGGCTAATTTTCGTCTTGAATTATTTGTGTAAGTCCAGAGAAGGTTTAAAAGGTAAATAAATATGAAAATGCTCGGAATGAAATAAAAATAACAATTTTGTTTTTCCTTTGATGTGTCCCCCGTCGGACGGATTCCTTTTGTTTGTTTTAAGTTTACTTTATACAAAAGTTTAGGTATTTTATTTATCGATTGAGGCACCACGAAGTCTGCCGGGTCAGCTAGTAATAGTTATATTACACAATGTTATTCAAATGAAAATTTGAAACTTGCAGGTATCGTCGAAGGGCTCTCTGACGGGTGGTTACTTTAACCAGTCGCGCTCTCGTCTGGAAATGCAGAAGACCCGCTCCGAGCTGATGGAGCAGATCACGACCCTCGACCTAGAGCTCAGCACGCTGCGGCAGGAACTCAACAAGACTGAGGCGAGCATCAACAGCATCGTGTCCGAGATGCAGAGGACTGAGACTAAACAAGGGAAAGCAAAGTGAGTTGTTCAGGTTACCGTGTGTTCATACAAGACTGAACTTTCTGTGTTAGAAAGGCCCTTAAACTTTTTTTTTAAACAGCATTTGTCTAATATTAGTGCACATAAAACCTTATCGATGCTTGAAAGGCAAACGTGACTAAGCGACAATAACTGCTTTGTACATGAATGATAGACAATAACCATATTCGATGCGCAAAAAAAATATATTTCCAGGTCTATTAAAATCATTTCAATCCTACAGCTAGATTCGTTAAAATTGATTTTTTTTCAGGTATTTCAACTATAAATTAGTCTACTATAAAGTTCACGCGTTGTTGCTTAGTCACGTTTGCCTTTCTAGTCATTGAATTATGTTCATACAAGACTAGACTTTCCGTGTTAGAAAGGCCCTTAAATATTTTTTTAACGGCATTTGTTTAATGTACATAAAACCTTTTGATGATTTAGAATATATTGCGTGCTAGAAGCAAATGTATCTTCGGAACTAGAATAGTTTTTTTTTTACTGTATTTGTCCGCTATGATGTTTAGATGAACATTTAAGGTGAAAGCCTGTCCAGGACTTCTGTATTGTGAACTTACCTGTGAATTGCAACAGAAGTATATACTCATATAAATAATTCAATTATTTTCAATTGAAAATTTAAAATTATCTCTTTCTGAATTTCGTTAAAATTCGTAATTAGACACAAAAAATTGTTTTAAACGGATTTTTTTTAGATTTATTATGACACTTCATGCACATAATTGTATATTGGCGGGCTCAATTCCTATGACATTCTCTATCGGTTGACCAAGAGTTATGCAGAATAAAACGTAGTAGGTATATTTATTCAATAATCATAGTAAAATAGATACTATAAAATATATTAACTATGCATAATATGAAACAAGCAAATCATATAAAGTAAATAATGCTTTTTTTTTCTCCCTAGGGATATTTTCGACAAAGTCAAAGCAGACATTCGTCTGATGAAAGAAGAGTTGGCTTCCATAGAAAGGTTCAGAGGACCTAAGGAGAGATCTTTGGCGCAGTGCAGGTCCAGCCTGGAAGCCATGCAGGCTACCAAAGAAGGATTGGAATCTGAACTTCATCAGGTAAAATACAATATAGCTTACTGTCACTTTTTAATTAAAAACCTATAGTCGAAGGGTTTTTTTTCATCGACATTTAAATAATGTGAACGAGTTGTAAAGTGTCCCTGTGTTTGAGACTAGTTTAGGGACAGCTATATAGCTTATACAATTCGTTGTTGTTTTACATGGAAAAAATAGTGATCGGTGACGTCATTATTGACTGGTGGTTCTCTTGTGAGTCCGCACGGATAGGTACCACCGCCCTGCCTATTTCTGCCGTGAAGCGGCAATGCGTTTCGGTTTGAGGGATGGGGCAGCCGTTGTAATTATACTTGAGATCTTAGAACTTATATCTCAAGGTGGGTTGCGCATTTACGTCGTAGATGTCTATGGGCTCCAGTAACCACTTAACATCAGGTGGGCTGTGAGCTCGTCCATCCACCTTAGCAATAAAAAAAAAGTTTAGTGACAGTTATAGCTTATACAATTCGTTGTTGTTTTACATTGACAAAATAGTGATCAATGACGTCATTACTCATCAGTGCATTACCAATTGATCGCCATCAAATAAGCAATTAAGAGATTTTTTTTCTCAATCTCTAGGGGATAAATTTATATTTAAATTAGTTTAAGATACATATATTATTTTTCTGAGGTCAAATTGTATAATATTATTTGTACTCTCGTTATAGGAGCTGATGGAGCAGCTATCGACCGCGGACCAAGGTAAAGTGGACGAACTGAACGACGCGATCCGCCGCCTCACCCTCGAGAACAAGGAAGCGTTCAGCGCCAGAATGAATCTCGAAGCCACAAAGAACAAACTAGAGAATCTGCTGACCAACAATTTGATTCGGTTCGTTCATCTTTCATTCGATAGTTGGTGAAAAGTTACCCGAAATTAAAACTCTAAAAATAATATATTAGATTGTAAATTGGACCCGCTACAGGATTTAATAAAGAGGTTTCAAGACATGACGTGTCGCACTGATTGTATAACCGTTCCGAATTTGCGACCAATGAGAACAAAACATTAGTTTCTGTGCGCAAAAAAAGCAAATTTTGTATATGAAGTGTTAGTCAAATTAAACCACCCGCACAGTTTTTTAAAAACACTTTCAGTTTTATTGTCTTATAATATTATATTAAGAACAAACACATAGAAGGGGAAGCGGAAACAACAATAATAACAATAAACAGACTTCAACTATAAGCTAAAATTACGCAAGACTATGCGCAAGCACTGCGAAGCGGGTTAGCAGGTAAAATCATACGAGTATCCGACGGCAAGGCAGTTTACGGACTGCTGGTGAAGTGCGCGCGCGGGGGCCACCCGTAGCGCTTGCGCACGGTGCGTCATTGCTGACTATATACAAAGAATGTTTGTCCCAAAAAACAGACAATATTAAAAATCAACATAATTTTTAAATATAATAATTCTACATCTAATATTATTATAAACAAAGTCAAACTTATAATATAGTAATAATAATAATACATAGTTACACTACATCACCCCCCTCCAGAGACCGGGTTACGGGCGATAATATTGCGGAAACTTCACTCTACGCCCTGATCTAGTTCTCCTGATGACACCTTCATCGGCATCGAGGACAACTGGGTCTGTAGTATCAGGTGAATCTGTGTGAGTGTATGTATGTGTGGGTGATGGTGTATGTGTGGTATCTGAATCGTGCAGTATGTAGGCCGGCTTGATGCGGTCGATAGATACTGCGACGTTTTTACCGTTTAGGATTATCCTAAACACTTTGTCACCACGCTGTAAGACTTCATGAGGTCCAGAATATGCTTGTTTAAGCGAACCTCCCAATGTATCATCCCTCAAAAATATGTGGGATGCTGTTGCTAAGTCTTTGAAGACGAATGTACGCTTACCGCCGTGACGAGAGGCTGGTGTGGGTCGTAGGTCTTTAACAAACTTGCGAAGTCGTGCCATGTACTCTGTTACGTTGACGGTATCGCTTACTTCGGGGTTAAAAAATTCTCCTGGTAAACGTAGTGCTTCTCCGTATAAAAGTTCCGCAGATGATGCTCGGAGGTCGTCTTTAACTGCACTACGGATCCCTAACAAAACAAGTGGAAGCGATTCAACCCAACTGTCGTTGGCATGACATATAATAGCAGCTTTAAGCTGTCTGTGGAATCGCTCCACGAGTCCATTGCTTTGGGGATGATAAGCAGTGGTCCGTCGGTGTTGAAATCCGGATAGTTGTGACAAATTTTTGAACAGCTCCGATTGAAACTGACTGCCACGGTCAGAAATAATGTCCGTTGGGCAGCCGAACCGCGATATCCATCCGCTAATTAGTGCTTTTGCAACAGTTTCGGCACTTATGTCTGGCAAGGGTATTGCCTCAGGCCATCGCGTAAATCTATCAATGGCTGTAAGACAATATTTATTGCCGTGTGAAACCGGTAATGGACCGATTAAGTCTATATGGACAAATGTGAACCTAGCTCGTGGTACTTTGAAGGCAGCGATGGGCGAATAAACGTGACGTGTAATTTTAGAGCGCTGGCAAGCTATGCAGGTACGTACCCACTCTCTGCAGTCTTTTCGAACACCAGGCCACACGTATCGCTCAGAAACTAGTTTCGCTGTCGCATTGGCGCCAGGGTGACTGAGTGAGTGTAGACTCTGAAAGACCTGTCGTCGAAACTGCTTTGGAATGAAAGGTCTCTGTACTGTCTCACCCACATCACAGTATAATTCTGTGCGTGACCCAGGTAGCTTCACCTTTCTGAGGCAAAGGGAAGAGTTATCCTCCAAAAGGTCTTTTATCTCGTTGTCTCCTTGCTGAGCCTTTGCTACTTGCTCAAGGTCAATGGGTTGTGCGATCTCTTCGATTCGGGATAACGTGTCGGCAACAACATTGTCTTTCCCTGAGATGTGGCGTATGTCTGTAGTAAACTGTGAGACAAAATCAAGGTGTCGGAATTGGCGTGGTGAGCAGTTTTCTTTACGAGAGTGAAAAGCATACGTTAATGGCTTGTGGTCCGTAAAGATGGTAAAATCTCGGGCCTCCACCATGTGACGAAAATATTTCACACTCTCATAAATGGCTAAGAGTTCACGGTCGTAAGGGGAATACTTGAGCTGTGTGGAACTCAATTTTCGTGAAAAGAATGCCAACGGCTGCCACGAATTTTCCTTTTGCTGCTGGAGGACTGCGCCTATTGCTGAATCAGAGGCATCCGTAACTAACGCGAGCTTTGCGTTACATTCCGGATGTGCTAGCATGGCGGCCTTGCATAAGCTTTCTTTGCAGGCTTCAAAGGCTTGATGTTCCCTGTCTCCGAAATTAACGGGATGAGACCCTTTGACGGAGCCGGTCAAGAGGAGATTCAAAGGCGCTTGATGGACTGCAGCTTCAGGGATAAATCTGCGGTAAAAGTTTACCATCCCTAGGAACCGCCTGAGCTCTCTGACCGTTTTTGGAACAGGGAAAGTCTTAATGGCTTCCACCTTTGCGGGAAGAGGTTTAGTGCCCTCAGCAGAAATGCTGTAACCTAAAAATGTGACCTTTGGGACACCGAACACACACTTTCCTGTGTTGATAACCATGCCATATTTTTGAAGCCTGGAGAACAGTTGGTGCAGGTGCTTTTTATGAGCCTCTTCATCCTTAGAAAATATTAAAAGATCATCGATATAGGCGTACGTAAAATCTAGGCCCCGAAGCATTTCATCAACAAAACGCTGAAACGTCTGTCCGGCATTACGTAATCCAAACGTCATGTATGGGAATTCATAAAGACCGAACGGCGTTGTGATGGCAGTTTTCGCGATATCGTCCTGGTGGACGGGCACCTGATTGTAAGCTCTCACTAAATCCAACGATGAAAATACTTTGCAACCAGCGAGACTATGACTGAAATCATGAATATGGCGTATGGGGTATTGGTCTGGTATGGTGCGTGCATTGAGCATCCTATAATCCCCGCAGGGGCGCCAGCCATTATCTTTTTTAGGAGCGAGGTGTAGTGGTGAAGACCATGGTGATAATGACGGTCGACAAGTACCATTTTGCAGCATAGTCTCAAATTCGGCCTTTGCAATTTTTAATTTGTCCGGTGCCAGTCTACGTGGTGTGCTTGCAATCGGTGGTCCAGGTGTGGTGCGAATATAGTGTACAGTGTCATGTTTCGGTGTACTGTGTATGCCTGATGGACGAGTGATGTCAGGGTAGTGTGCTAGTATAGAATGATAAACAGAATCACCTGATACAACCCGCACCGAAGAAATGTCCTCATGAGAATGATCGAGCGAAGCCGCGGTCGCAAGTGAAGTTTCAGCGTCAATTAAGCGTTGCCTGCGAACATCAACAATTAAATTATAAAAAGATAAAAAATCAACGCCTATTATAGCCCTTGTGACATCCGCTACAATAAATCGCCAAGCAAAGTCGCGGCGCAACCCTAGGTTAAGAACTAAGTGAGCGTAGCCGTAGGTATTAATAATTGTACCGTTTGCTGCACAAAGATCATATTTTGTTTTTTGACGGTTGTCTTTTAAAAACTTTCTCGGAAATACACATAAGTCACTACCTGTATCCACTAAAAATTGCATTTTAGTACGTTGGTCTGTAACGAATAAGCGACCAATCAGAAGGTTGCGTGTTCAAATCACGTCGGGGTCACCAATGAAGTGTTAGTCAAATTAAACCACCCGCACAGTTTTTAAAAACACTTTCAGTTTTATTGTCTTATAATATTATATTAAGAACAAACACATAGAAGGGGAAGCGGAAACAACAATAATAACAATAAACAGACTTCAACTATAAGCTAAAATTACGCAAGACTATGCGCAAGCACTGCGAAGCGGGTTAGCAGGTAAAATCATACGAGTATCCGACGGCAAGGCAGTTTACGGACTGCTGGTGAAGTGCGCGCGCGGGGGCCACCCGTAGCGCTTGCGCACGGTGCGTCATTGCTGACTATATACAAAGAATGTTTGTCCCAAAAAACAGACAATATTAAAAATCAACATAATTTTTAAATATAATAATTCTACATCTAATATTATTATAAACAAAGTCAAACTTATAATATAGTAATAATAATAATACATAGTTACACTACATATAAAACTTAACGGCAAGCAACGGTTTAGCTCTGGTATTGCTGTTGTCCATGAGTGACGGTAACCACTTACCACGAGGCGGGCCGTACACTCTTCTCTGCCTACAAGGACAGTAAAAAAAATTATAATATTTTTTGGCATATGCAATAAAAAAAATTATAATATTTTTTTTAGTATTACTGTTTAACTGTTGTTAACAAAATTTGACATAAATTCAATGCATTGCATGTTATCAAAGGTAATCGAAATCATTTCCTTCGACAGACGTAAAGACGAATTAGTACAAGCTCTACAAGAGATCTCTGTTGAAGATCGGAAACGTCGTCTCGCTAACAGCAAAACCGATCTGTCCGCCACCGAGAAGCGCATCAAGCAGATCAACAAAGAACTAGAAGAGGTCGAGAGGAAAGTGCAAGCCGCCGTCAAAAACGAGAAGGCCCTCAAATTGGAGTTAGACAAATGGAGGAATAAAGTGAGCTATGAATGAATGAATGAAGAATCTTTATTGCACAAAAATATTGTACAAAAGCGAACTTTTTATTTATTTATTTTTTATTGCTTAGATAGGCGGAGGAGCTCACAGCCCACCTGGTGTTAAGTGGTTACTGGAGCCCATAGACATCTACAACGTAAATGCATCACCCACCTTGAAATATAAGTTCTAAGGTCTCAGTATAGTTACAACGGCTGCCCCACCCTTCAAACCGAAATGCATTACTGCTTCACGGCAGAAATAGGCGGATTGGTGATACCTACCCACGCGGACTCACAAGAGGTCTTACCACCAGTAATTAACCAATTAACGCCATGCAGGCATTCTCTTCCGGTTAACCCTCGTTGATGAAGTAAAAGATTCAAGAAGTGCGTAACTGTGTTAAAGTTAATACAAGGCGATAATTTAAATAATTATAGTAGACATGAGTAAAATGACCAGAGCAATGAGCTATAATTATTTAATGAAGCTATAGTCATTTTTAATCGCGTTAACAATCAAACGAACCCTGAGTTAGTACACCCATTGGAACAACAATAAAATACATGAGTAACAATAATTTGTTGAACTCATTTTTCTCAAATTCACCAGGAAAAAGAAGCTCAAGATAAAATGGAGGAGGACGCTAAGGGTCTAGAAAAGATGGCTTCCAAAGAAGTGTTGCTGCAGGACAAAATTCAAGAGTCGCTCGATAAAATAGCAGCCCTGGGCACACTGCCCAACGCACCCGAACTACACGCTAAGTACCAGAAAATGTCTCTGAAACAGGTTAGTTAACTATATTACTGAGAAAACAAGTTGACCACTGATTGCCTCGTAAAGCTTAATACAAAAACAGCTTTTCAATGCAAGTAAAGTTCGGCTTAAATACATAATATAAGACTACGAATAATAAAACTATCGAAAAGTAATTACGCTTCAAAAATGTTTCCACATAAATAGCTACCGCGGAGAGCGGGGCTTAAAATTAGCTATATAAAATAAAAAAATTTTGGTCACATAATTAAGAAAAAATGTTAATTTGTTTCAATCACTATTCGACTATTTTCAATATTTAACGTTTGTATATATAATAATGGGATTTAATGAATTCTTTGTAAATATGTCTATCAAGATTATGAGAACACATAGATGAGGGTGAAGATAAGATGAAGATAAGTAAAACTACCGCGCTTCACACATAGAGACCGAGTCAACTAAATTATATAAAAGTTGTAGTAGCATAGCAGTAGTGGTAGTAGAATAAAAATAATAGAATTAACTTATAATAAACATTCTCCTCGTAGCTCTTCAAAGAGCTGGAGAAAGCCAATCAACATCTCAAGAAGTATAACCATGTCAACAAAAAGGCCTTGGACCAGTTCATTAGTTTCTCGGAGCAGAAGGAGAAACTGTACAAGAGAAAAGAAGAACTCGATGTTGGGTGAGTCACACTCTTGCTTCGATTTCCTTCATTATTAAGCTATGGCATAGCTTTGAGCGCGGCGACCAAATCAAGAAATTCCGTAACATAAATAAAACCTAACACCCCCACTCCGCTTACCATGTACCTCGCGCTCAACACATTCACACGTTGCGCTTGTGTAATGTTTGTGAATAAGCGCGCGGCGTGACGTCGCACTGCATGCGCATCATGAAAAGTCTGCCCATCTCTCTCTCGCGCGGTCTTATTTATGAGTATGAAGGGGACAGTTAATGTTTGGTTTTTGTTAATGTTTATAAATATAACGTGGTCTTATTTTATTATTGTTTTAATATTAAATTATTATCGTCTAATTGCAATAATATGCAATTTCGAAAAGGGCATATTATGTCGCATATTTTTTCAAATACGTTTTTTCATATACATATTGTAGTTTTGAGGCTTACCTACACCCATTTTATAATAGTTTCAGTAATTTTCAATTACTAATTAACACTAAAATATATCTCAAAAGTTAATATTTTAAAATTTACACTGCTTTAGAAAATAATCAGTTTTTTTCATTTCCTGAACATTTTACATTTTCAGAGATGTGCCCTTTTCGAAATTGCATATTTAATTATAATTGCATAAGTTGATAAAAAATCCTATGCAATAGCTTTACCGTGCCAGTCCCCGAATGCCACACGTTTTATTGTTTTTTATTTGTTAAAATTTAAAAATCTTACATTTTGTGAGAGACAAGACAGAACTTGATATAATCATGATTTTATTACACATCAACATGCCACTGACAATTAACCATGTCAAATTAATTATATATTATGTGTTGAAATAAAATTACTTCAATATGTATTTTATTTATTTATTTATTTATGTACACACAGAAAACAAGACATAGTACAGAGTAATAGGAAAATTATGTACAAAGGCACTGCTTATTTCTTTAAGAAATCTCTTCCAGCAGACCTGCGAGAGGATAATGAGAATAATAATAAAAAGTGATGAGTGTGTGTAGAACAAATAACACATAACTAAAATAACAAATACAACATGANGACATAGTACAGAGTAATAGGAAAATTATGTACAAAGGCACTGCTTATTTCTTTAAGAAATCTCTTCCAGCAGACCTGCGAGAGGATAATGAGAATAATAATAAAAAGTGATGAGTGTGTGTAGAACAAATAACACATAACTAAAATAACAAATACAACATGAGAATTATAGTAATGCACATACACATAGCAAATATTATAAGTAACATGTAACATGTGTATGTACATATTACACTAAGTTTATTGTAATTAATTTTTAAAACAATGATTTAGTAAAAAAAATTACTATATCGCATCGATTTACTCGTTATCTTCAAACCATTTTCAAATTCGAAGTTGTCTATGATCGATACGATTTTATCGTAGACGGCGTGCCTGCTGATTTTCGCGTAAACAAAATCGATGTGACTCAGGTCTTCAATGTAAACGGTTTCTCGAACGTTCGGCAGACAATCCTTTAGTCTTTCGACGTCTATTTTATCGGAGAACCAATCCTCTCCGCTGTGGAACAACACGACCGGGGACTTGATGTTGGCGCATGCGTAGTCCGGAGCCGTTTCCTGCCCGTAGACCTTTAAGTTCCGCTCCCTGCCGTGGTCGTATCTGCCGAACCTGCCCGACGCCGCCAACTGTCCGTAGTGGACGAACTGCAACGTCGAACACCCTGTAGGCGCGTGTCCCAATATAACTGGAATCAGTTTTTCGTCTACCTTAGAACTGTAACCTAAAGTGTTGGACAAGAAATTGTCGCATCGCACCGGCGACAGCGCGCATATTAACATCGATAGCTTGTTGAACGAGTCCGCACTCGGCACGTGCGCGTTTAGCGACGCCAAAGCGTACCCGAGTATTTCGTTTGCGGGCGAAAATATTTGTACCAAAGGACTCTTGGCGTGCTCCAGCCAAGCGACTGGAGCCAACGAGAACATCATCTTGATTTTGTTATTGTATTCGGGCTTCATTGAGGTCATGACGTAGTAACACGTGGTACCTTGAGAGTATCCGACGTAGTATAGGTCGGTTTCAGCCGTCGCGTTTAGTATGTAGTCGATAGACGCCGGCAAATCGTAAAGGCTAATCTCTTCCCAAGTGAAATCCCAGAAACGCTGGTCGTCGGGTTTTAAGGACGCGTGCTTCAAGGAGTGCTTGTTACCTCTGGCGTTTCCCATCCATACATCGAAGCCGCTATCCGCTAGGACATAGGCCAACGCTGAATCCGGTCCTTGCAATACCCAACCGTCTGAGCTGTCTAAAATTCCGTGCATCAAAAATACAACGGACCTCCTCTGATTAGCGTCACGTCTGCCGTGTTTTATTCGATGTAAATTCAGAATGTAACCGTCCTCTGTAGTCACCCGGTGCTCTTCGAACGGATATCCGTATTTCGCGGCGAGTTCGCTTATATTCAATCGCGCGTCTACATGCGAATCGTAACCGAAAAAACTCGTAATGCCATTGATAACCGTGTTCCAAACACTGAATATATTGAAGGCAGTCACTAAAGGCAATAATAGAAGGAACAGCGAAACACGGTACATTCTCAACGACAGTCGGATTTTCGAATGAATATTACCATTAATCACGTACCTAATATAAGTATCGGTTAAATTACATACCCTAAATACTTATTCCGGACGGCCACCGCTCAGGTTTCGGCCACCACGTGTGATTTTTAGACTTCTTACTCTCGTTGAAACGTGGTGGCTCGAGTATTGCCGCAGTGGCCGTCGCGGAACGGGTGCTGGGATTGGTTCGAGGAAAATAACGAAGGCTTCAAGTATGGCGTTCACACGGTCCTCGTGGCTTGACCGGCGCAGGGCGTAGGAGCGAGTCTCTTCTTGTGCGACGGCTCTCTCCTCTTCTTCTGGAGAGGTCTTGACTCGTCGGCTCGCTGTCTCGAACTGAATTTGCAGCGAGGTAGGCCCCTTATTTATGGTCGCCCACGCGCACTCGGCCAGCGCTATTATGAGTCCGAGCACGGTGGGCGTCTATTGTTCTCTCGGCCGCCTCGCTCGCCTATTGTTTGCCTAGTCGCTCTATTAGTTGCCCGTATTGTGACTCGCTCCTGCGTTCCCACGCCAAATTAAAGACCACGAGGACCAATCTTTATTTACAAAATAACATTTACAAATTAACTTATTTCTATTTACATTTGTATGCTAACTATTTTTAACATACTGACTATCTCTATTTCTATTAAATCTAGCTGTACTTGCGAACATATTCCTATTCTAGCGTATCTATTTACGGACATTTCTGTTTTAACGTATTATCTATTTATTCTCTATTTATTTATCGCGGACATTTTCTATTATTTTACAACTATCTATGTGCATCGCGAACAATATCTATTTAACTATTTTCAATCATTTATGTCCGTTCGGGAATATCTTATTCTAACTATGTTTCTTTATGTCCGTCGCGAACAATACTTAATAGCTTCTTTACCTCATTATGAACGACGGTCAATCTTGACCGACATTCGAGAAACTTCGGTTTGAATGAATTCTTTAATAGATTTAAAACTAATTTTCGGTATTTAGGGAACGTTGTGTAATTGCGTTAAATTAGTAGAGTAGATCAACACAAGTTGTTACACTAATTACGAGGTTCGTTGATTACTTAAATACTAAATAATTAAATAAATGAAATATGCAGTGTAGCTTATAACTTAACATTATATATCAAATATTTATATAAAAACATATAATGAAACTAAATGTATATATTATATAATTATAGCTTGCTCAGCAATTAATCGCAAAATAAATTCCGGTACAAGACTTCATTTTGAACTTCATATAACTAGTACCTCATTCATCGCAGCAATACCATACCAATTGGATGGACGAACTCACGACCCATCTGATGTTAAGCGGTTAATGCCGCCACCGAGCTTCAGACATGAGTTTTATGTCTCCGTTTTTATAGTAAAACAGGTGCCCCGACCTTCAAACCGAATTCACGAACAGGCAGGGTAGTGCAAGCGACCTACCAGTGCGGGCTCACAAGACGTCTTACCACCTTAAAGAACTTGAATGCTTCTTTGCTAAAGAATTTTTCACTTAAAAATGTTTTTTGTCGGGAGTTTTTCAATGCCGTACGTATATAAACCCGCGGTCGCGAACGCATTATTTTGGAAAAATGCCCAAAGCTATTGTCAGTAGCAATCAATGTCACTATAACAATGAAGTATGGTCTATGCACTTTAATCGATGACGATGACCACTGTTCCTCAACTAATCACTCAACGAAACTAAATAAAATTTTCAGTATGAATGTCATAAATGAAAGCTTTATTTTAAAATTGCTAAAAGTAAATTTTACCCCTGACTCCAAGAACAATTCAGTCCTGAGAAAAACAGCCGAAACAAATTCTTCAGCAGACATGTATTATTTAATAGTTAAAGCATTTATTTCTGATTGTTTTTTTTTGTGTTCACTCCAAATAATAAGTTAATTTATCTTGTAGTGGTGGATTATTTTGAAAGAGTAAAAATCCCCAAAGTTATTGTCAGTAGCAATGTCAATGTCAGTGTCACTATAATCGATGACGATGACCATTCTTCCTTAATTAAAACTCAACGAAACTAAATAAATATTTTAGTATGAATGTCATAAATGAAAGCTTTATTTTAAAATTTAGCTAAAAATAAACTTTACCGCTGACTCCAAGAACAGTTCAGTCCTGAGAAGAACAGCCGAAACAGATTCTTCAGCAGACATGTATTATTTAATAGTTAAAGCATTTATTTGTGATTTTTTTTTTGTGTTCACTCCAAATAATAAGTTAATTTATCTTGTAGTGGCGAGAAAATCCGTGAACTCATAGAGACGTTAGAACACAGAAAATTGGAAGCGATACAGTTTACTTTCAAACAAGTCACGAAGAATTTCTCAGAAGTCTTTAAAAAGTTAGTACCTCAAGGAAGGGGCAGTCTCATCATGAGGGTAGCCACCGACGAAGTGCAGGATGTTAATCCAGAGGTAAAATTTAAGTTATTTTTAGAAGAAATGAAACTGATCAACAAAAAAATATAAAGGTGACCGCAAAAAAAAAAAAATGTGTGCGTGTACTAGTGTACACACGTAAGAAGTGAAACTTATTTATGGCCTTATTTTTCGAAAAATGATCTACATGCAACTTTCTAGAAATTGGTTAAATAAAGTTAAATTAGATAAAGTTTAAACAAAAGGATTTTATTATCATAGACATGAATACAAAAAAGTTAAATTAGATAAAGTTTAAACAAAAGGATTTTATTATCATAGACATGAATACAAAACAGATGGCGCGTAACGGAAAAATGTGACGCGTAACCGAAAAATGTGACGGTAAATTTTTTTCCAACGCCGATAAGGAAGTTTCACTTCAAAAATATTTTTTTCTCTTTTACCTATGCTGATAGCCTTGAAAGGCTATATCAGCTTTGCCTTAACGTGTAGGTGAGCTCACGGGCTCAAACCGGAGCGGTACTAACACTGCTAGCAAGAGCAGTGCTTCGCAGAATCTAGCACTGGCTCAGAAACGCGACCCACTAAGAAGATCTGGCGAGAAACTCAGTGGGCTGTGTCTGTGAGTTCCGAACCCTTCGTCGCAAACAACGGGTTCGACGAGCACGGTAACCGGTGCTTAAGGTACCTAAAAGCACCGTTTAATGGATCAGGAGGATCCGTAATGACGTGTTTAGGGCATTATCAACATTACTGGTGGTAGGACCTCTTATGAGTCCGCACGGGTAGGTACCACCGCCTCGCCTATTTCTGCCGTGAAGCAGTAATGCGTTTCGGTTTGAAGGATGGGGCAGCCGTTGTAACTTTATTGGGACCTTAGAAGTTAAGACCTTAGAAGGTGGGTGGCGCATTTACGTTGTAGATGTCCAACCATCTAAGCCAGCGGTCGGGGAACTTAATTATTACCCCAAAATATTTTTGTGTAATTTGATATTATCCCATGGCGAAGAACAAAAAAAACGAAATCGCTTCTTTTTAGTATCTTTCATATTATAGCCCACATGATAATTTTGAAAAGAAAACAACTAGTCACGTGAACTTTTTGTTTCCAAATAATGTGTTCTCTCATTCTCTCGCCGGCTGAATCCTATACATTTATGTGTTTGTGTCTCTGTGGACTTATTTTTTCGTTTCCTTTCATTTTGTTTCATAGAGTTTGAAATCACAAGGATTTTAAAGAGGTTTCACTTCAATATATGTATACTTTTTACTCACAAAAGTTTCATTTTTACCCCCCAATATTTCATTTTACCCCATTTGGGGTAATTTACCCCGGTTCCCCGACCGCTGATCTAAGCAAGAAAAATTAAAAAAAAACATAGAAGTTTCATTGAACTGAACCTACGTAACCCGTTGTCCAATCGTGTTCTCGTGTTGCAGCGCGCCAATGCGGACCAGTTCGCCGGCGTCGGTATTAAGGTGTCGTTCACCGGCGGCGAGGGGGACATGCGGGAGATGAACCAGTTGTCTGGCGGACAGAAGTCCCTGGTGGCGCTCGCGCTGATATTCGCCATTCAGAAGTGTGACCCCGCGCCCTTCTATCTGTTTGACGAAATCGATCAGGTAATGTTCCTTCTGGTATATAAGTCCATGGGCTACGGTAGCCACTCACCATTAGGTGGGCCGTATGTTCGTCTATAAGGGCAATAAAAAAAAATGCGCCCTCTTGGTCAGTAGTAGCGAACAAGTCAGAACAGCCGTCTCACAAAACACAAGCGGTTCTGAAACATGAAAACTATTATAAATAATTTTAGATCGAAAAAATTGTTTTCTTACACAATAAGCGTACAGACTGTTTGTTCTCTTGATTAAGTCAAAAGAATGACAATGGAATTTATAATTTCATGACAGTACAGATAAAAATGTGTTTTTTTAATTTTCAACATAGATGGGTGAACCAGCTTGTTGTTAACCTTGCGATGTGTTATCGATGCCCATAGATAACACAAAGTGAATACCGCCCACCGTCTTGAAAATGTCTATCGTTTAAAGTCTATAGTCTCAATTTTATTATTTTTAAATTTATTGCTTAAATGGGAGGACGAGCTCAGGGCCTACCTGGTTTTAACTGGTTACTGGAGCCCATGGACATCTACAACGTAAATGCCGCCACTTACCTTGAGACGTGAGTTGTAACGTCTCAGTATAGTTACAACGGCTGCCCCGACCTTCAAACCGAAACGCGTTACTGCTTCACGGCAGAAATAGGCTGAGTGGTCGTATCTAACCGTGGGGGTTCACAAGTCGCCATGTCTGCGTCGAATTGGTAAACTTCTTAGTTGTGTTAGTGACATTGACCACTTTTTTTTTATTTTATTTCCCTTGTAGGCACACGGCCCACCTGATGGTGAGTGGTTACCGTCGCCCATGGACTTCAGCAATGCCAACGTATCTGTTCACAGGCTCTGGACGCGCAACATCGTAAAGCGATAGCGAACATGATCCACGAGCTGTCGTCGTCGGCGCAGTTCATCACGACGACCTTCCGCCCCGAGCTGCTGGAGCACGCGCACAAGTTCTACGGGGTCAAGTTCAGGAACAAAGTGTCTCACGTCGAATGCGTCACGCAAGAGGAGGCGAGGGACTTCGTCGAGGACAGCGCCACGCACGCCTAGCTGTGATTATCGCAAAAGAACCGTCATGTGACCCTGAAGCGGACACGGTAATGATTACTAATAATAATTACGTAGATGTAAACAAACAAAAAAATATCATTAAATAAATTTTCGTTTCATTACATTATAACGAAGGTAGCTGTCGATTGATGACTCGCGCTGTACGAGGTCCTTGACCTCGCCGGTCAGCCAGTACTTATTTGAATTACATTGCGTAGTTTTTATGTCAACGCATCTTCATTTACACGAAAACTTTTATTATTTCTGATGTATTACCAGTTTTTCGTTACAAAAATTAAAATCACAGACTGTGAATAATAAGTCATAATTCATATGTTTTTGGGGACCCAAACTTATGGTTATTTCGCGCTGTCTAAAGTTTTAACATGTTGTTGATTGGGTCCTTTCTATAATAAGTAAATTCAATGTTTTTCGGTTAAGTTTTCCGTTGCACCGTCAAAGAAATGTGCTCGTGTGCTATAAGTAGAGTAAGCTCTATTGAACCGTAAATTACTGCTGTAATACTATGATTACATTGAATTTTAATTTAAAACGAAATTAAATATTCTTAAGTCTGACTTGTATGAATTAGTAGAAAAGTATTTTTTATATAATTTTTTTTTCTGCAATCTTTACTCATCTTCAATTAAAACGTTTATAATTCATTTTCTATGATTTTCTAATCGCTAATATTATTACTAAATCGACGATATTGATTCGTTCTGACTTTAGACTCGTAAAGATAGTTTTATGGTAGGATAATATATTTTGAGACTACAATACACTAAACTTCAAGAATTATTGATAAATATAATGTCTTTATCAGCAATCAATTTATTTTCTAAGTATCGTTTCGAAATTATAAAAGTTTATTTTTTATTGCCCATTTGATGGTTGAGTGGTTACCGTCTCATTTGGACTTACCCGAACCCAGGGGCACGACCAAATCGCAGTCTATCGTTGAGTACTCTTCGTGAGACTTGTAAGTAAGAAGATAGTAAGAAAAATAAGTAAGAAGACTTGTTGTAAGAAGATGTGGTAGCGCGCCGGTAGCACCCTGGAGCGTACTTCATTCCAACACCGGATGGTGAGTGACAAAGACGGTATTTGCATTAGAAGTTTTGGGCAAACTATCTTTTCTTAGTTTTCTAAATTTTGGTCGACATAATATGTAAGATATTGTTAACGATTTAAAAATTCAATTTTTTTATACATTATCTACGTACGTAAATAGAAATTTAATGATTGAACTCTGTTACAAAATGTGTAAATGTATCCTCACTTAATTTTTCATACTTTTAAGTGTTGTTTGTTCGCAGTTATAAAAATTGTAATAAATTTATTGACTTTTAAATTTAGGAATAAATTCCTTTTTATAAATTTGTTTATCATTTCTCACAGTTTGAACGCCTTAATATAAGAAAAGTTTTGTATCGCGTAAAAGTGACATCGATGTTGCACCACGTTGGGCGCCATTGCAATGCTCACGCATCCGTTCACACGGCATAAACATTTTACTGACCAATTTTTTTTTTTATTTCGTTTGGTTTGTTATACACAGACTGGTCATTAAGAAATAGCTGGTGGTACACTGTCTGAGAAATAGTATCTCAATTCAATCATGAATACTTCATGCTAAGGCTTTCGTGGTAGGGTTTCAAACCCATTTTATGTCATTCGCTCAATGCAAATTGCTTAGATGGGTGGACGAGCTCACAGCCCATAGACATCTACAACGTAAATGCGCCACCCACCTTGAGATATAAGTTGTAAGGTCTCAGTATAGATACAACGGCTTTTTAACCGCCCTTTAAACCGAAACGCATTACTGCTTCACGGCAGAAATAGGCAGGGCGGTGGTACCTACCCGCGCGGACTCACTACAGGTCCTACCACCAGTAATTACGCAAATTATAATTTTGCGGGTTTCACTTTTATTACACGATGTTATTCCTTCACCGTGGAAGTCAATCGTGAACAATTGTTAAGTACGTATTTCATTAGAAAAATTGGTACCGGCCTGCGGGATTCGAACACCGGTGCATCGCTTCAACACGAATGCACCGGACGTCTTATCTTTTTAGGCCACGACGACTTCAAATTCGCGAATTAAAACTAAACACAAAGGAACAACTCTGCTGGGCAACAGTTAATAGACAACAGTGAATCCCGATTATTCATCTACTTCTTTTCAGCAACAGTTATATGATTAAGTTAAGCTTATATTCCATTCTCGGAAGAGTCTTCAAATCGGATACTTCGTAGGTACTCGTGTAATGTTATATTTCCTTAGATCGGAAAACTGGTGTCTCTGTTCTGTATTCATTCAACAAGTTTTTTTAGTTGGTTAGGTAGGTAGATGAGTTCACGGCCCACCTGACGTTGAGCGGGCTCCGTAGCCCATACACGTTAACAATGTAAATGTCACCACCAGAAGCAAAAACAGGCAGGGTGGTGGTACCTCTACTCGTGCGGGCTCCAGTAGTTACATAAATTATAATTTTGGCGAGTTTTATTTTTATTAAGCCATGTTATTCCTTCAACGTGGCTGTTATTTTTGAACACGAATTAAGTGCATATTTTATTACCTGCCTACGGAATTCAAACACCGTCAACATAAAGGAACACAGGTTTAGTGAATCTGGTCAACAGTGCACGCGTTCAGACGCGCAGTTCCGGATGCGTGTGATTATTTATCTCTCATCTGTATCTTATTTTTTATTGCTCTTGTAGGCAGACGAGCATACTCACCTGATAGTAAGTGGTTACCATCGCCCACAGACTTCAGCAATGTCAGGGGCAGAACCAAGCTGTTGCCTACCGACTAATGAAAACCTTTCACAGATCTGTCAAATACAGTGAGTTCAATAATATACATTAGTATATTTAATATGGGAAATAAAAGATATAAATAAAAAAAAAGAAAACTTCACTCTTTATTTACAATCCAACATTACGTAGGTATTGTCATCAATAGTCCAAGATATTGCCTTTCTCGAAGAATGCTTAGCACTAAAAAACGAATTACACGACAAATTTGAGTCTTCAAGACTTTTCTTAAATTTTATAACACACAAAGAGTATTGGCATAATTTATCTGAACATAAATAAAATATCAATTACAAAATAAATTACTAAAAATACATACCGATTCAGTTTGTCATTACAAAAACCTAAGCATTCGAAATGTTGAATATAAAGTAACGACAATAAACAAAAACTGCAAGTCTAGACCGTAGAAAGAGTTCTAATTATTTCTACGACTTTCGAAAAAAAAATATATCATTTTCATTTTGGATACTTTTTTTTTAAGAATAATTAGAGTAGACAATAATAATTTGACTTTTAGCTATACGATTTCAGCACTTCTTTATGTTAGAATACATTAAATTTGCAATAGTAATATTAGATTATCCCATATTCTTATAATTAATTTTAAACGCACTCGAAGGAAGTTTTACAGCTGTAGTGATATGTATAGGTAATTTATAGTATAATTTTAAGTGAAAAAATATCTATTTAAAGATTTACAATAAACTACAAATACTCATCTTTAGCAATATGTAAATTACTATCTATCTATCTATCTAAATTATCTTAACGCGTATACTAAGTAATATAATTTTAAATTATAAAACTTGCAAACCAAATTAGTTCTCAGGATATATCGGATAACAAAAAATAGTAACTAAGCATTTAATCAATTTTACACAATTTAATTAAAAAAATTAAACTGCTCAAAACTTTACGAGAAATATAAAAAACTACATTTAGTTGAAGGACTCTCACATCACAACTAGCAGCCAAATATATCAGTAAACCTAATATGTCGCATGTCTTCAGAAAAACACTACATATTTAAAATATTTTTTAACAATTTAAGCATCTTATTTTACATTTTAAGTACACGAATAATCCCATTAATTTCAAATTAATCTTCAAAATTTATTATTTGTGCCAATTTAGGGTAGTTCCCATTTTTTATTTTAATTAAATGTTAGTACTAGGTACTGTTTTGTGTTTCATTTTCAATACCAAAAGTTGAAAGCTTAAATTATTGTATGGTATATAATAATATGTTCCTTTACTTTGATCAAGGTATGTATATATTTGATAAAATATCAATTTAGAGTTTCAATTGAGCAGTTGATCTCGAAAGAAATCGTTACAAAAAAATATCCGTTGAAACAAAACAAAAAAAAAACAGCTTTATAAACATGAATCTATTTGTATGATTACAATACGAGAGCAGCAATGGAGCAATATTTTTTTTTTATCTTAATACTGGCTTAGTTTTTTATACTTACAATAAAAGTTTATTTATTAGGTAAACAATTTTCTTTCATTTTATAATTGGAAAAAATATATAATCTTTACTTAAATATCAATTTAAGATAAAATCAAAAAGACAATAAACATATATCTTAAAGATAAATTAGTGCATCAAAACCACACACTTATTTAGAAAATAACATAAGCTCTCTTTTTTTTTTACTAGAAATGAATTGCATTCATTGATTAATCTATCTGTATTCATTAAATCCATGTATTATTATTCGGCAAAAACGGATACAATAACGATTATATAAGTCAAAGCTGACACAAAAAAACCCCAAAAATAATAATGTTAGATATTTTTAGGGCCAATCCTAAACATCAAATTTTATATAATTGTTTTTAAGTATGGCAACACAATTAGTCGCGGTTGCACAAAAATACGTACGTGCACGTATTATACATCAAGAAATATAAAAAAATCCTTCGCTCTGAATCTAGTTTTTATTGAATGAATCTAGCACACAAAATACGCTTTAAACATTATAGATATTAAAAACGCTTCATAATTATGTATGACTGATTCATAGCTTCGTCCTACTTGGTCATTGTTAGTTATGACGTCACTGAAGGAGTTAATACCTATTTTATTGCTTAAATGAGCTCACGGCCCACCCGGAATACACATATATTATTAAAAAAACGAGTTCTTTTTTTTTATTGCCCTTGTAGGCAGACGAGCATACGGCCCACCTGATGGTGAGTGGTTACCGTCGCCCATGGACTTCAGCAATGCCAGGGGCAGAGCCAAGCCGCTGCCTACCGTAAATTTGGATTTGGATTTGCTGTCTAGTTGCGTGGGCACTTTGGCAATGCTTCTGTCATTGCTAATATCATCAGGAGTATTTAGTACAATAGATTGGGGGGAATAGAGACTAGAGTCAGAATAGGAACAAATCTGGGATGTCACAATACTTTTGTCGAGTTACTTTTGTTTAGATTTAACTTTGTTGAACTGAAAATGACCTTTATTTAGTTTAGTTTTTATTGCCCTTGTAGGCAGACGAGCATACGGCCCACCTGATGGTGAGTGGTTACCGTCGCCCATGGACTTCAGCAATGCCAGGGGCAGAGCCAAGCCGCTGCCTTACCTTAAGAAAAACCATTGAAAATTTGTGTTGGATTTGGAAAGGGACGCGATTCCCCCCAATTTGCTGTATAAGCTGATTCGCGCATTGTGAACTAAGCCGGCTCGTGCTATAACCGCCTCAGGGGTACCGCGTATGGCGAGTTCCAGTCTCGTTCGAACACCCCCTGGAGGTCCTTACGCACGTCCTGCGCGGTGCGGTTGCCGGCTCCGTCGCCGCGGTCGGCGGTTACCACCAAGGCCACGCCGGCCGTGTTCGTGAAGTAGTCCCCGGCCCAGTTGGAGGTGCCGATGTACGCGGACGTATCGGTGACCATGTACTTGTTGTGGTTGACGCGGGCGTACGGTATCTTGTCCTGATCGGGCGTGGACGGGACCACGAAACGTTTCTGAGAACGATATAGACGACGCTCTGATATATACGAGTATATAAATGGAAGGGTGAAAGGCTAATTTGGTATAAGCGATATATTTTTTTATTGCTTACATGGGTGGACGAGCTCACAGCCCCCCTTGAGATACGAGTTCTAAATTCTTAGTATAGTTACAACGGCTGTCCCACCCTTCAAACCGTAACGCATTACCGCTTCACGGCAGAAATAGGCAGGGTGGTGGTGCCTACCCGTGCGGACTCACAAGAGGTCCTACCGCCAGTAAAAAAACTGTTTCGAGTAATTGATAATATACAATGTCAACCGAAAAGCAAAAATATTTTCCTATATATTTTACTAGAGGACTCGACAGACGTCATGTACATAAATACTTCGACGCCGAAAATTCAAACTTTTTCTATAAATAAATAATAATGAAATAAGCATTTTTTCATGGACCGAATTGTGAAAAATATCATCAAAATTCGGTAAAGCCGTCTAGGAAGAGTTCAACACACACACTCACACAAGCGCACCACCGCCTTGCCTATTTCTGCCGTGAAGCAGTAATGCGTTACGGTTTGAAGGGCGGGGTAGCCGTTGTAACTATACTGAGACCTTAGAACTTATATCTCAAGGTGGGTGGCACATTTACATTGTAGATGTCTATGGGCTCCAGTAACCACTTAACACCAGGTGAGCTGTGAGCTCGTCCAACAATCTAAGCAATAAAAAAATAAAAAAAACTTGGCCCAGCATAAACCTAGTAATCTATATATTATTATATAAAAATGAATTGCTGTTCGTTAGTCTCGCTAAAGCTAATTTTGGTCTTGAATTATTCGTGAAGTCCAGAGAAGGTTTAAAAGTTTATTTTATACAAAAGTTTAGGTCCTTTGTTTATAGATTGAGGCACTACGAAGTCTGCCGGGTCAGCTAGTAAGTAATAAATGGTAATTACGGTACTTACGATTTGTAAATTGAGACGCGGGTAGGCCTGCGACAAGGCCGTCAGCGAGCGCAGGAAGTGGTCCTCCGCAGGCGAGGAGTGCTTCCACCAGCTAATCAGCATGCGAACTTTTACGCGATTCTCGAGTGCCGCTCTGCGGATAGCGTCGTCGATCTTCGGCCAGAATCTGAAGAAAACGTCTTATATATCTCCCAGTCATTTATCTTGGCACACGGCTGCTGATCGTGTAGGAGTCATTGAGTTAGTACGCCATAACTGTAATAAAGACCAAAGGCGTCTCTAGCCCATTTAGTGCCCGTATGCACTAATTAACCTAGTGCCCTCTAGTGAAAGCGCGGTCAAAATGGAATAGATACAAATGTAACAATTTTATTGAGAGGTCAACGCCCCCTAACACATCCTGCACCATAGGTAAAGCCTCCTCTAATAGGGACATTCTTTACAGGGTTCTATGGGATTGTGAATGGCTCTGACTGCACTATTTACAATAGAAAAGAACCAAGCCGTTAGGATTGCCAATAATTCTACTCATATGGCGTGTTTAAAATCTGTCAAATTTGTATTGTAATAGGGAATGCTGTATTTAAGAGAAACGACCTAGCTCGCTTTATCCATTCCCTCTCTCGACGGTCGAGTGGATAGCGAGTCGCTCTGTCTATTTTCTCAGTCTCGCTCATACCAAATTGTATCTTTTCTCTCTAGCCGTGACAAATTTGCTGCGAGTTAAATTTTACGTACTCTCAATGCGCCTAAAGAAGTTTCACTTCAAAAAAATAAAACTGTATACTCACAATAGTTTGGGCGTGTATATTGTTGCCGGTATGTAATCCATAACTGATATGTAGACAAACTGTTCGGCCGTTTGTATTATAGACACGATGGCGTCGCTGTCGTCCGTTCGACCGAGCGGACTGAACGGGGGCGGGGAGCTCTGAAAAATTAAAAACTATGTCCTCAACTATGAAACAGCTAGCTTACATGAAAATTTATTTTATGGCCAATCTATAACTTTGACGCTCTATGGAGCTCATAAGGCAGTGCATTTAATCTACCGATTATCCGTACTTAATTACTAATAACTATTGATATAAAAAAAGAAGAAGTATCTGTGTATGTATCTTTAACTGAAACTCGAAACGTTAGCCTAAAAAAACATAGACTATAAAGGCCTATATCAACATTCCGACGAACATAGTTACGTTAGTTCCGGATAAATGGTAGCGATTTTAATCCTTTGAAACCTTAGGTCGAAAAGACATGAAATATAAAAAATATTTTTTTAGGTGCATCAAAGTGCATCGTTTACCATGATAGTATTATCATAAATATGAAAGTAAGTCTGGCACGTTATTACGTGACGATTTTACAAGACACTGAAACTATTTTGTTGACATCCGATATTGGGTCTATTTAGAAACACTTTGAATATACTGTCCTCAGTTACTTCAAAATATTTACAAACGGGTCATCGCCCTCGCGATGACAAAAAGAAATAGGAAAAACATATGCATAACTTCAAAAACTTCAACACTATAAACTTCAACTATATTTAACGGTAGGCAGCGGCTTGGCTCTGCCCCTGGCATTGCTAAAGTCCATGGGTGACGGTAACCACTCACCATCAGGTGGGCCGTATGCTCGTCTGCCTACAAGGGCAATAAAAAAAACTTCAGGTTGAAGATAAATAAAAAGTAGGTACTGCCTAGGTATTTATAAACCACAATGTCATTTCACTAAATAACGAAAAACTAAATACCTTAATTTTCTAAAAAATAATAATACATAAAGCCACTACTAATCAAATGGCTTCATTATACTAGAACAATTTTAATAAGTCAAAATTCATGGTAGATTTTTCACTAATTAACTCGCAGGAAGTCGCGTGACTTGAGGAAAGCGTCACAAGGCGTCACAAATACGATCGATGGGCACTTAATTCGACACGCCTCTTGCTATTACTGCCTTCAACAAACTACTGTTTTATTAAACTAGTTCTTAATTGATCCTTTTTTTATCATGATTCCCAAAGTTCACTGGTCCCATGTGAGACGATTACATAATAGTTAATAAATATAATCTGGTAAGGAATACGTTATGGATCGAAAGGTTTATGTAAGCTAGGCCATAAGTAAATAAGTATTGATTGATTTACCAAACTTAAATGCTCAACGCAGAAATGCGTTATCTTGTTGTTTTTTCCCTATTTATTCTAGTGACCTCGAGGGGTCACGCCAGATTCACCGAAGTAGAGTAGTAGTAGATGAGCTCACGGGGCTTTAACTTGATACGTTGCTAACACTAGCCCCAGCAACAACAGTTCTTCGCTACGAATATGAAGAATATTTCTACTAAACTATTCATCGCTGTTACTTAATATAAATGTGGGAATAGTTTAGTTTAATCTGTGGACTTAAGATGTCAAATGGTTGTCAGAAAAAATAATCCGAGCTTAGACGTTCCGTATTTAAGGCAAGAAATAAAAATAATTATGAAACACTTGAGGAAGTATTACTTCATTCTAGTACGTCCATCCCATATATATTTATGTGTAAGACACTCTTCGGCAGAGAAACAGGAAAGTAAATATATTTTTAGAGTTGCCTCTGAAAGTGCGGAACAGGTGCTCTTTAAGAAAAAAGGTTTCTTAATCTGGTACTAAAATGGTTTTGAATGTACCTTTTTGCGTTCATACCTTTTAAGAAGTTAAAAGATAGATAAATAAATTTGAGATTCATGATGTGATCATGCATAAATAAGTATCTTTTGGTTTAAGTTACGTTAAGTTTACTTATGCTGATACGTTGAGAGGCTATTTTAGCTTCGCCCTAACGTGTAGGTGAGCTCACGGGGCTCAAACCCAAGTGTTGCTAACACTGACTCTAGCAAGAGCAGTGCTTCGCAGAATTTACCACCGCATCGGAAACACGACCCACTGAGAAGATCCGGCGAGAAACTCAATGGGCAGTGTCTGTGGGTCAATTCGCTCGTCGAGCCCTTCGTCACAAGCGACGTGTTCGACGAGGACGGTGACCAGTGCTTGTGGTACCTAAAAGCACCGTTAATGGGTCGGGAGGTCGTCGTAATGACGTGCCTTTGGGCGACTTCGAAAGAAGTTAATGTATTGAGTTTATTGTGCTTTTTTAAATTTTTTGTTTTGGTAATGATAAATTATATTCTCAGCGTGTTAAATTTATTCATTTTTTTTCCACTGATAATAACAATTTTTTCTTGGCAAGGATAAATTAGGTAGTCTGAATTTTGCTTTATTTCGATTGATTGAGAAACGAAAAATATTTATAAAAAAAATTACACTGTCTATCTATAAAACAAACTATGGCAACTTCATAGCTGTTAACCTAATATTATGATTCGCGAAACTAATACAAAGAATCAATTGTTATACGTTTTTGTTTCCCGAAACACTCGTAAAAGTTGATAAGTTCACTGTGAAAGGTCGATGTATGCAAATGAGGCGAATCGAGCTTCAGAATGTCTGCAAGCGCAGCATACTACTGTTACGTTTCTTCTTATTTTTAATGCTCAGACCAGTAAACGAGATCTTTTTTTTATGGCTTAGATGGGTGGACGAGCTCACAGCCCACCTGGTGTTAAGTGGTTACTGGAGCCTACATTTTACATTTACAACGTTAATGCGCCACCCACCTTGAGATACAAGTTCTAAGGTCTCAAGTATAGTTACAACGGCTACCCCACCTTTCAAACCGAATTACGACCCGACTTAAGTGGTTACCGGTGTTCATGGACATGGAATGAGCTCCCCCTACGGTGTCTCTCGAGCGCTATGACATATCCTTCTTTAAACGAGATATGTGGAAAGTACTTAACAGTAGGCAGCGTGTTAACTCTGCCTCTAGCATTGCTGACGTCCATAGGCGACGGTAACCACTCATCATCAGGTATGCCCTATAGTTGTCAATAAAAAAAAAAAAAATAATGAATAAGTATTTTGAGATTAGAGCTGTCACCTGTATAGTAATTACGCAAACTGTAATTTTTGCCGATTTGCTTTTTTATTTTTATTGCTTAGATTGCACGAGCTCACAGCCCACCTGGTTTTAAGTGGTTACCGGAGCCCATAGACATCTGTAACATAAATGCCGCCACCCAGATATGAGTTATAAGGTCTCAGTATAGTTACAACGGCTACCCCACCCTTCAAACCGAAACGCATTACTGCTTCACGGCAGAAATAGGCGGCACCACCCCGCGGACCTACGCGTACCTACCCGTGCGGACTCACAGGAGCTCCTACCACCAGTGATTACGCAAATTTTAATTTTGCGGGTTTGATTTTTATTACACGATGTTATTCCTTCACCGTGGATGTCAATCGTGAACATTTGTTAAGTACGTATTTCATTAGAAAAATTGGTACCCGCCTGCGGGATTCGAACACCGGTGTATCGCTCAACACGAATGCACCGGACGTCTTATCCTTTAGGACACGACGACTTCAAATGTGAACGTGATATCTCTTTTTCTACACAGTAAATGTACTGACAGGAATCACTCTGTAATGAGCTATAATAACTCGTCTCCCCCATTCATCACTTTACTGGTGGTAGGACATCTTGTGAGTTCGCGCGGGTAGGTACCACCACCCTGCCTATTTCTGCCGTGAAGCAGTAATGCGTTTCGGTTTGAAGGGCGGAGCAGCCGTTGTAACTATACTGAGATCTTAGAACTTATATCTCAAGGTGGGTGGCGCATTTACGTAGTAGATTGTCTATGTGCTCCAGTAACCACTTAACACCAGGTGGGCTGTGAGCTCGTCCACCCATCTAAGCAATAAAAAAACAAAAAAAACCCTCGTCACTAATGTGATATCTCTTCTTCTGCACAAATAAATAATGTACCTACACGAATTAGAATTAATTAGCTACAATAACTCGTCTCCCCCATTCGTCAGGAATTTAAATCAGATTTTTCTCACAACGAAACTCGTAAAATTTATGACATTTATATATTGTGAGTTACGATACGGAATGTCACTAGGCCCGTTACGTCCTTTGGGCGGTCAAGGGCGAGAGTTTGGCCTCCCGGAGGTCGATCGCGGTGTTTCATTACCGTACGCTGTACTAAAGCAGTTTAAACACAAATTAAATTGTGTTAATAGCCTTTTAATTCTATTTATCGGACGTTATTGCTGTTCTGTGTAAAATCTTTACGTTTAATAGATTTAATTAGAATTTTTGCTTTGATGAGCCAGTCAACATCAACTGTGTAAGCGTTTATTTATTTAGACACACCAACAGCAATACACACAAAACATTAAAGCTTAATTAAGTACTGGTATGTAAGCCAGTTACAGGCATGTACCGCAATCTCTTATAACAAACTATGACATGTTACAGCAATTTTACAAATAGCGGAAAAATAGGGTAAATTTAAATGTTAACAGTACGACAAAAAAAGTATATTTGAAAATAATATGAAAAGAAGAGTTTAACTACTTAACATAGCGTTAACACAAAATAATCATCAATACTATCAACTTTAAATAAGTACATGTTATCGAATAATAATTTAGTAAAAATGATTAAAACTCAAACTCACGTAGTTTCATATAGACATCAAAACAAAGTAATATATCGTTTATCGGTGTAGCGTCATATAATCATGCACAAGGGCAAAATATGTATTTACAAAACAAAAACTATTTTTAAGTTTGAAAAAAAAAAAACTTAATGACAGTTCAAAATTCGAAATTAAGCTTTAAATATAGTTTTAGGTATTTTTTCCTTCTCATAATTAGTAGATATCCTCGAGGGGTATTGCTAGCTTCATCAAACGTCTAGGAGAGCTCACGGGGCTCAGCCTGGAAGACTTCATTTTTACTGATTTTTTATGTCAGCTCTTACAGCAGTTCTTCTACACGTCGTAATTTCTTTTTTCGTATCTATTCTCTGGTAGCCTAATGGACTATTTCGGCTACGCACGGGCGAGTAGGTGAGCTTACGGGCTCAACCTGAGAGAGTTTGCTAACACTATCTGCTAGCTGCCGTGAATGAACTCCACTTGAACTTTTTTATTGGTGGTAGGACCTCTTGTGAGTCCGCGCGGGTGGGTACCACCACCCTGCCTATTTCTGCCGTAAAGCAGTAATGCGTTTCGGTTTGAAGGGTGGGGCAGCCGTTGTAACTATACTTGAGACCTTAGAACTTATATCTCAAGGTGGGTGGCGCATTTACGTTGTGGATGTCTATGGGTTCCAATAACCACTTAACACCAGGTGGGCTGTGAGCTCGTCCACCCATTTAAGCAATAATAAAAAAAAACCTTTCAACTATTACGACAATACATATTCCGATTCTCGAGACTACGTCTACGTCCGAGAAATAGCCATAATAATATGACTTAAATATTTAATATTTTGTCTTAGGTCATCATAATAAAATACGAACATGGAGAAAATGGTACTGTCTTCGCAATATTTCGCTTTTTTTTCCCCCCTACCTATAGCCTAAGAGGTTATTCTATTCCAGCTACTCCCGAATGGATAGGTGAGCTCACAGGCTTAACCTGAGAGACTTTGATATCACTAATCTTAGCAGCGCTTCGCAGAATCTACCACCGGATCGGAATCGCGACCCACTGAAAACATCCGGCGAGAAACTCAGCATTTCGCTATAACATCCATTTGATTGAACATGGGATCTTGTTTAACTTATCCCTGACGTTGCGATAAAGGCTAGGCTTCGGTAGAAGTAGCGCGCCACACAGAGACCCGTCGGTTGGAAACGATCGTAAAACGCATCGAGTTCTCGCTTCACAAGCAAGCCACTCCGAGATGTTATAGCCAATTTAAAACCGCCCGACGCCATTCGGTCTAACTTTTAACGACAGATAAAACATTATGAGGGATTACGGGGACAAACGTAATGTTCTCAAACCGGAAACAATATGTGTACTGAACGAATAGGTATTCTTTTAGGGTTTTATTTACCTGTATGGAATATTGGAGGCTAGCGTGCAGGAGGAAGGAAGGGTTTTATTTACCTGTATGGAATATTGGAGGCTAGCGTGCAGGAGGAAGGCGCGCTCATAGTAAGTTACAGCAAAATCAAGTCGAAATGAAAAAAAAAATCTCGAATCGAAGAGAATTCAGTCGAACTTTTACTGGTGGTGGGGCCTCTTGTGAGTCGGCACGGGTAGGTACCACCACCCTGCCTATTTCAGCCGTGAAGCAGTAATGTGTTTCGGTTTGAAGGGTGGGACAGTCGTTGTAACTGTACTGAGACCTTATACCTCATATATGGGTGGCGGCATTTATGTTGTAGATGCTTATGGGCTCCGGTAACCACTAAACACCAGGTGGGCTCGTCCACCCATCTAAGCAATGAATAAAGCGACGAATATTTCGACGAAAAGCGAATAAGCGACGAATATTTCTTTAAGAGTTTATGTGTTTACCATGTGCAAATCATACCTATGCATATAATAATGGCGCAGAGTAGGTATATGTGTTATAGATAACAACATTATTGAAAATTGCATTGCTTTCGTTTAAAACATATATATATGTATAGGATAGGTAAGAACGGAACGTATGAAAACATTGTGGAACGGAACGTTAAGGTTGAGGGAGAGAAAACGTTAGAAAGAAAGAAAGAAAAAATGAAAGAGAAAAGCAAGATGGCGAGGAGGATTGAATGAGCAAATTATAAAAAAGGGGTCAGTTAATTTATAGTTATAATAATAGAGAACATTTGGAAAGAGAACAATAAAACTGCAACAGTAAAATAGTTTTATGCCCCACAATCCCCATTCTACATATACATACATATATAAAGGACAGTATAGACTCGTATAAAGGCTTTTGCTAATTCAGCAAGAGATTACACCAATATAACTATTACTAACATTTAATGAAATCGTAAAAATTATAACGAAAAATTCATACAATGAGAATTCAGTGAATCGACAAATTCATTGTTCAATAAAACTCCATTAAGAATTTCTTTCAACTATCTCAAATAAAAGAACAGAGAACAATGTAAAATCCTGCGACAGCTTTTGAAATCTAAACGACCTACATGAATTTTAATCATCAAAACAAAAGCTAATTTGTTGAAATAATGAACAATTTGGATAAGTTTTAATTACGTTAAGTTCGTTCGAATAATTTAAGTGAAGACGCTGACTGACTTGTACAATTTGAAAGTTACAGTTTTAATATTGTAACATGGAATGTGTCTGTCTTAGTAGACTGTAATATGCACGCTCGCTGCGAATGTTGTATTACGATAAAACGCTCAAGTCGGTCGCCAGTTTTAGGGTTAAGATAGCAAAGTTGTTCAATTTACCCCGACGTCACTGCTGTCTGAGGTAAGTGCTTATCGAGACCCGAGAAATTGTGTGGCATCTCACTAGTACGACATCTTCGGTAGACACTTCAGCCGAAAACTTTGAGAAGTTTGTTAATGGACAGAGATAATTGTAACTTGGAGATGCCTTAAATAGATAAGTGCATAGTTTCGTGGCTTACGGATCGATCAGAATTAGGAAACTTTTGATTGTATTAGTAGAATGTTGTTATTTGTTGCTGTCATCAATCCATATTACGTCAGTCGTAAATCGATTGATCGAATCGATCTAGTCCACATACTCCCTGAGATTGGGGGCGACCTTCATTAATTTCGCCTAGTGGCTATATCGACTATAAGAAAAATATGGTGGACAGACGAATATGTCCTTACTCAAAATATAATTTATTAGGGCAGGGAAAGTTGAGTGTTTTTTGATTCCGCACGTGTTGGTACAATCAACCCGCCTATTTTGGTCGTGAAGCAGTAACGCATTCGGGGTAGCCGTTGTACAATAAAACTGTGACTTAGATTTCACGTTTCAAGGTGGGTGGCTGCAATAAAATCGTTGATGTCTATGGACTTCGGCAACCACTTAATACTACCGGATGGGCAAGCTAACTGCTTTTCGAAATACGCATAAATATGAATACTTGTGTGAGTTCATATTACGCCCTGCCTCCACTAAATTCAAATTGATAAGAATATATGCTTTGACGTGATCAGTGTATGTGCTATTTGTCCTTAATCACTACATAGTATAAAACAAAGTAGCTTTCTCTGTCCCTATATCTGTCCCCATGTAAGCTTAAATCTTTAAAACTACGCAACGGATTTTGATGCGGTTTTTTTAATAGATAGAGTGATTGAAGAGGAAGTTTTATATGTACAATAACATCCATTAAATAGCGGAGAAATCAATAATAAATTACAGTTCCCGAAGCGAAACGAGGGGGTTCGCTAGTCAGCAATATAAAAGAACAAATCTAGAAATCGACAGAAGCCTTCTGAAAAAATAATATTAATATACTTACGGTGATATAGGCTCCGTAATTGTGCACCGAATCGGATATGTTGATCGGGTACTTCATATTGATGTCGGTGTTCAACTCTGAGGGCCACGTGTCCGGGATAACTGCGTTCGGTTCGCCCAGCATCCAGTACACCTGGGAATATGATGTTAAGTTTTATTTTCCGATCCAATGTCACTCGGGGGTTTGTAGGTTGCGTAAAGTTTGCACTTCCCCGAGTCATATTCCTCATGTCTGAGGGTCGTAATCATCTCCTTCCATTATCTTTCTCTGTATGATGTTTTGCCATCCTCCCCTGTTCTCGGCAATGTGTATGGCATCTTAGAGTGTGTATTCAAAGTAGTGGCGGATTTGGTCAGACCAGCGCATTGGATTGCGGCCACGAGACTTTTGCTTGCAGTTTTGCCAGTTACTATCATTTTAAGGATAAAGTCTAAGAGCTCATAAATTAGGACCCATATTAAAGTGAAAAAGACGAAACGAAAAAGCGACATAAATTCATGAGATTTAACGTGAGAGAAAATGAGATAGAAAGTATTATACAGTGTTTCTTATACGCGCGGTTCTCTTTGTACCTTGCTTCGTACCTGGCTAATATTCGTACTTAATACATTTTGAATAAATCTATGTAATATATACAAATAAAATGTAAAATAATTATGAAACTTTGTATCACTATGATCAATTATTAAAACCTATATCGGATATCGGATATCGGAATGAACGATTACATTCTACGTACGCATTTTGAACTTATCGAACCAGAAATGGTGGCAAATCAAAACTAGTTATAATCAGTACAGTAATGATGCAAAACTCAGAAATTATTAAAATTAATAACTCAATACAATTTGCTTGGAAACCTTACCGCTACCAATACGTGTCTTTTAAAATTTTTAGAAAACAATTTACTCGATTTTGTATTACACTTTTTTAATTTGGCATCACAACGCAAATGCCCTTAGTCTTGAGATACAAGGTCGAAATCACAATATCGTTGTATTAGGACCGTCTCAACCTTCAAACCGTATGCATTATTGTCTCACGCCACACGGTAGAAAGGTGGCAACCCTGAATACAATTGATATGAAATTGCAGACTAAGCAATCCATGACGCATTGTCGCTATATATATCACAAATTATTATTTAAATTCGTTTATAGTGGATTTTGTTTTCGCCGCGAAAACACGTCATATTTTATACTATTTCGAACTGGTCAAAGTCAATGCAGTTTTTTTTTAAATAGTTTCTGGACCGCTGCGTAATAGGACCTAACCGTGCGTATTTATAACATACCCTGGCACAAGTAAATTGAATCCGTTTCTAAGCATCTTGACGCGACTACGTGAGACCGTCGATATTTTTAATACCAAAATGTTTGTTCCTGACCAAGAACAATAGTCCGGTAACAATAGTTTCTCACCGGGTCTTCTCAGTGGGTAGCGATTCCGATCCGGTGGCAGTTTCGGCGAAACACAGCCCTTGCTTGGGCTAGTGCTAGCTAATTCGCCAGGCTAAGCCCTGTGAGCTTACCTAGGCGTTCATTGAATTTAATATAACCCCTCGAATTTATTAGCATAGGTAGGTAAAAAAAGAACAAGGTTTAGAATTCCGACCGATTCAAATAACAAAGCCACATTACAATATGATAGGACTAGACTATTTGACGATGTAGAAGCACTGTGAAGGCATCGATATAAATTCAATGACCTCAATACAAATGTAGGCGTTTTAAACGTATTGAATTGAAACTAGAACGGAGTGGGACGATATCGCTTAATAACTTAGAGCTCTGCTTGTTTATTGTGCATCTGTGTGTTTATACGAGTAACTAAGAGCGCTTGTGGTAAAACGATACGACGCGTTCTTTGATTATTGTTTAGCGAATGGAGGTGAATACGTTCTAATACATTTTCAAATTGACGGAAGAAAGCAGAATTGTCGTAACTTGAAAAACTCGACTTTGCATCAGAGCCATATAACTATGAATTTAAAAAATGCATAACTCATATTACATTTATATAAATAGAAAGTTAAAACGTGGTATGAAATTTGATGGAAAAGAAAACCATTAAAAGTTTAATCGTAGGAAAACGAAACCCAGACCATTCGATCTTTTTTTTTAAAACAAGAATATGGTAAAAATTGATGTAGCCCAAAATGCAAGTTACGACTTTTCCGCTTTCTACCGTTGAAATATTGAAGGGTCCTACAAATATTTTGTAATGGAAATAACCAATTAAATGTTAAAAACTAAATTCAAATTGAAAAAATCGTTCAGAGAAACGTTCGGTGAATAACTGGGTCAGGCTTACTTCCACAATATCCATATAATGATCTAAATAGGCAGTAAGACTAGCGTTTTTTTTTTCATTTGACTGATTCGGCTGTGCAGTTATGCCCCCGATTGCTGGGCCGAGAGTCATGGGTCTGATCCCACATCGAGCAAACATTCGTGTGATGAACAGGTTTGTTTGCACATTGTCAGCGTGTCTATTATGTATGTGTAGGTATCTATATATTAATACGTAAAGCAAAAACTTTGTACCCCTTTTTATGAAAATTGCGCGGATAGAGGAGTATGAAATTTCCCACACTTATGGAGAATATAGAGAAGGAGTGCAGAATGTTAATATTTTTATTTAAATTATGCATAAAAAATACATTAAATCAAAAAATAAAACATTACACACACTACCGTGTATTTGACACACACACGCATGCATACTATTTGTTTATTGTCAAACTTTTCTGTCGGCGAACGGCATAGCCGCCACTTTCCGTGGAAGGACGAAATTTCTTTTAACTATTATTCTTCTATTATTATCAATATTATTGTCACGATACGCGGAACGTAATTTTTTTTCCTACCTATACTGATAGCCTTGAGAAGCTATTTCAGCTTCACTCTAACGTGTGTAGGTGAACTCACGGGGTCAAACCGGAGTGTTGCTAACACTGACCCTAGCAAGAACAGTGCTTCGCAGAAGCTACCATCGGATCGGAAACCCGACCCACTGAGAAGATCCGGCGAGAAACTCAGTGGGCTGCGTCTATAGGTTAATTCGCTTCGAGCCCTTCGTCGCAAGCGACGGGTTTTCGACGAGAACGGTGACCGGTGCTTGCGGTGCCTAAAAGCATCGTTAATGGATCGGGAGGATACGTAATGACGTGTTTTGGGCGACGTCGAATGTTTACCATTCGGTATACAGGTTCGGGTATGTAGTTTCCAGCGTCCACGACAAGAGGGTTCTCATGTCGTGCCGCCTTCTCGAAATGGGTAATTAGTAGGAATGTTCGTATGAATGGTTTTAATGTAAATAGAGAGCCAATCGTGTTATTTCACACAGCACATAACATAAACCGTCGGTTGTGTAACTACAGGCGACATTTACTTTGATGCTCATTTAAATCACTTTGCAAACGACCGATTGTATCGCACCGTTAGAACTGAAGTGGCTTATCTAGAAAATTACTTTTCTACTTTGAACGACTTATAAACATGTATTCTATCTATCTATCTATATATATAAAAATAATTGCTGTTCGTTAGTCTCGCTAAAACTCGAGAACGGCGGGACCGATTTGTTTAATTTTGGTCTTGAATTATTTGTGGAAGTCCAGAGAAGGTTTGAAAGGTAAATAAATGTGAAAATGCTAGGAAATAAATAAAATTAACAATTTTGTTTAGGTTTTTATTTATCCCCCGTCGGACAGATTCCTTTTGTTTGTTTTAAGTTTATTTATACAATTTAGGTCTTTTATTTATCGATTGAGACACTACGAAGTTTGCCGGGACAGCTAGTCAATAAAAAAATTTAATGTTTCCGAAGCGAAGCGAGGGCGGGTCGCTAGTCAGTTTATAAAATTAAAAATTAAATTTCAATTTTAGTTAGAAAAGGTCAAAGTACACTTTCCGTCTATTTTACATATAGCGCATACCTTAAACCTTAAAGTGTGCGCTGTAAGGCTTAAAGTATTAAAATCAAAACTGAAAAATTACAATTCTTCAATTACATTTTTGGCGTTTACCAAAAAACAACAATTTTGGATTAAGCCACTTTAATTTTAAGGGTTCGTATATATGTGGACGATAACAATACACGGATGAGTTGATAACTCGTTTGTCAGCATTAATTAATTAAAACGGTGTTGAGAAATGCGATACAAAAATCAATAATTAATATTGCATATTACTTTAATTTTGGTAAAAGTTATTCAGAGACGCCACGACCTTCAGCATTGAGGATTACCGATGCGAGAAGCATGCTTTTATTCAGACGTCACTGTCTAGAAAATGTTTGTTGTACATTCTTTAACGAATTCTGTATTTTTAAGTAAATAATTTCGCTATGGGCTAGGGGCAAGGGATTGGGCATTGGAACGATGTGAAGTCAAGCAAAAAGCCATGAAAGACCTTTACTATTAATTAATTTTTACGTTTGTTTTGAGCCATTTAAGAAACTGTGGAGATGCCGTTTTAACAGAACTTTCTCCAAGCACCAGTCGCTGTTCTCGTCGAATTGGTGGTAGGACGTCTTGTCAGTCGGCACGGGTGGGTTCCATCATTCTGCCTATGTCTGCCGTGAAGCAGTAATGTGTGTTGAGAACTCATGTCTCAAGGTGGATGGCGGCATTTGCGTTGTAGATGTCTATGGGATGCGGTAACCACTTAAAACCAGGTGAGCCGTGAGCTAATCCAGCCATCTAAGCAATAATAAGTAAATAAATAAAACTAGACGTGGCTTGTGTCTATCTATGGACTTATGGACTTATGGAAACTTAAGTTTCTCGCCGGATCTTCTCAGTGGGTCGCGTTTCCGATCCGGTGGTGGATTCTATGAAGCACTGCTCTTGCTAGGGCCAGTTTTATCAATTACATCCTCAGATTGAGCCAGTGAGTTTATCTACCAATCCGTGAGTAACTGGAATAGCTCCTTAAGCTACAAGCGAATGGGTAGGAAAATAATAATTAACGATGTGATAAAATTGTGATAAAATTTAAAAAACAGTAATGCGTTTCGGTCTGAAAGGTGGGGCAGCCGTTGTAACTACCCTTAGAACTTATATCTCAAGATGGGTGACGCATTTACGTTGTAGATTTCTATGGGCTCCAGTAACCACTTAACATCAGGTGGGCTGTGAGTTCGTCCACACATGTAAGAAAGAAAAAAAAGTTATTCGTTAACAAATTTGAATTTGACGTAAAATCAGACAATGACATCAAAGGGTCGTACACACAGCAAGCCCTCTTACAAGCAATTTGTAAATGCGAAAAGCTATGATAAAGTTTGAGCTAAATTTTTATTACATTTTAACACAAAAACGGCACAGACTATGACAAAAGTTTTGAAATTTTAATACATATAATTAAAAACGTTTTGCGAAAGTTAAAACTGAATTTCAAACAGTTGAGATTGAATTAATTAATTAATTAAGCATCGTCAACTTCATTTTAGTGCAATGGAAGTTAACTAGTGCTCCTGACGACTGATTGAGTCACGAGTTTAATTTTACTTTATCGATAATCAAACTGTATTGTTACTATAAATATTAAATGGGTCAGTTAATTAGTTCGCAACGGAACGATATTTCGAATGTATACAATCTATACCAATATTATAAAGAGGAAAGATTTGTTTGTTTGTTTGTTTCGAATAGGCTCCGAAACTACTGGACCGATTTGAAAAATTCTTTTTCCATTAGAAGCCGACATTGTCCCTGATGAACATAGGCTACTTTTATTTATTTATTTTTTATTTATTTTTTTGATTTCACGTGTGTTTTAATGTTTCCGAAGCGAAGCGAGGGCGGGTCGCTAGTAATATATAAGTATATGGCGTAGAGAGCGATTTGTGTAATATTTAAGATATTGTAAACGCCCTAATGCCATTGCCAAAAAGGGCGATATTTAGATCATTCAGAACGAAAATGTCGGTTTGCCTTGGGATCAAAGTTTTTTTATTTTTTTTTATTGCTGCGATGGTTGGACGAGCTCACGGCCAACCTGGTGTTAAGTGGTTAACGGAGCCCATAGACATCTATAACGTAAATGCCGTCAGGTACCTTGAGACATGAGTTCTAAGTCTCAGTTTTTACAGTATAACGGCTGCCCCGCCCTTCAAACCGAAACAAATTACTGCTTCACGGCAGAAATAGGCAGGGTGGTGGTAACTACACACACAGGCACGTCACAAGACGGCCTACCACCAAAATGAGATAATTAATGTTCAAAAAGCTCTTATTACGGATGATCGAACCGCCAATCAGTCACTTCTAGCGTCATCGTGTATATGTTATAGCAATTAAGTCACGTAAGTAAGGTCACAGTATAACGCCTTCTGGTTTGCGGCAGAAATAATTAGGATGGTAAAATTTGAATTGTGAGTGTGTATGTCGAGGGGTGAAAGGCTATTTGGTCTAAGGGACATTATTACAACTTTACAGGAAAGCCATTTAAAGTTTAAAATTTGGAAAAAATATCATAACAAAAAAATCTTCAGCGATTTGAATGGAGTAAACCTAATGAAAGTTCAACTAAAAACATCTAACTGTTGCTGTTAATCTAATTGCTGTTCGTTAGTCTCGCTAAAACTCGAGAACGGTTGGACCGATTTGGCTAATTTTGGTCTTGAATTATTGGTAAAAGTCCAGAGAAGGTTTAAAAGGTAGGTAAATATGAAAATGTTCGGAATTAAATAAAAATAACAATTTTGTTTTTCTTTGATATGTCCCCCGTCGGACGGATTCCTTTTGTTGTTTTAAGTTTATTTTATACAAAAGTTTAGGTAGTTTATTTATCGATTGAGGCACCACGAAGTCTGCCGAGTCAGCTAGTACCAAATAAAACGAACCCTTAATTATAAAGATAAATGTCGCATATAAGCGAAATGTCGTTTGAACCAAAAACCCTTTACTCCACGTTATGTAAATCATAGTTGATTTTCTTTTAATGATCATAAAATCGCACCGCTACACAAAGATACGCATGTACTCACATCGAATATCTTCCCCAGGTCTGTCGCCAAGCACGAACAGTTGAAAGCGACCACACCCAGCTCCTTGACCTGCCAAAAAATATAAATTCAAAACATTAATATCGAGTACCAATGTGCTTAGTGCGAGTTTTTTAACGTTCTCGATAGCGTAAAAGTTAACTTTGTATGCAGTTGGAACAGCGCCCCTAGCGGGAAACGTACGCAAACGATCCAACATTATACAAATTTGAGTTAACTTTTACGGTATCGAGAACGTCAAAAAAACTCGCATTAAGTACACAGATTGCTTGGAAATGTTTGTACAAAGATGTCAATATCATGAATATAGGTACATACAATAAACGATTTTAGCATTAATATTCTGTGGTTCTGATTATGAAATATATATTTTTAAGGGATTTTATGACCTGGTAATTAAGACCTTTAAGTCATGTCTTATTTTAATTCATAATCATATTTTTATAAAAAAAAATAATATGGAATGAAATGAAGATGATTAATTTGAGACATTAATCAAGTGGGATGAAATTAAATTAAATGAGATGAGATGGTATAGGATGAAATATAATCTCAGTAAAATGGTGGTCATTTACTGAGACTTTTTCAGTGGACTTTTTGGAAGATCCCGAGAAGTTACGTCTACTTTCACAGATATTAAAAAGTTAATAAATCACCGTTATTATACATTTAAACTTGAAGAAACCCTAAATAGACAAAATAAAAAAATACACACAACTTCACTCCTCGCGTTCCCGCCAAAATGTCCTTATGAGATATAAGTTGCATTAATACTCGTACAGACCTGTGTGAGCGATCTCCAGTCCATATTGGCACTGCCGATGTAGAAATGAGTCCGGTCCACTATCCAAAACTTGGTGTGCAGGACGCCGCTTCCAAGCAACTTCGAGAAGTTTAAACTACGAACCTAGAGGCAATAAAACATAAGGTTCATATTGCTTTAGACGAAGATTACGACACCAAATTGTACTGTTTATTAAATAGAAAAATACGCGTAAATTAGCGTGTTTTTTTTTTAAACTCATTGGCGATCTTTTTTTATTTATTAAAAAGTATTTTTTAACGTCCGTTTCTTTATAATTAATATCAAAACAAAAGATGAAATGTTTAGGTAAAATTAAATTGCATTTTAAATGTATCAGTGATTACTATTGAATTTTGATAACTGAGCGAACACTCATTTCGAAACCTTAAAACGGTAAAGCACATTAAAAAAATGGAATTGACAACCTCCTCCTTTTTTTTTTGAAGTGGATTAAAAATAATGACTATTATACAATGACATTGATACTGAACATTGGTGCTTACTACACTTTTTTTATTGCTTAGATAGGTGGACGAGCTCACAGCCCACTTGGTGCTAAGTGGTTACTGGAGCCCATAGACATCCACAACGTAAATGCGCCACCCAGCTTGAGATATAAGTTCTAAGGTCTCAGTATAGTTACAACGGCTGCCCCGCCCTTCAAACCGAAACGCATTACTGCTTCACGGCAGAAATAGGCAAGGCGGTGGTACCTACCCGCATGGACTCACAAGAGGTTCTACCACCAGTAATTACGCAAATTATAATTTAGCGGGTTTCATTTTTATTACACGATGTTATTCCTTCACCGTGGAAGTCAATCGCGAACATTTGTTAACTCTTTGACTGCCGTGTAGGTCATCGGTGCCCTACGTGGCACACTGAAGTAATTATGTCGATTTCTCTCCTCGATCTTCTTACGAATGCGCCGGAATATCTATTAGACTCGAGGAAAAGCGAATCCGAACGATGCTGAGAAATAATCTATTTCTAAGAGACCTAAAAGATAAAAACATACATTAACAAACAAATTAAGGCAGTCCACCGTCCAGTTACAGAAATCGACATATTTACTTCAATGCGCCGCGTAGGGCACCGGCGACCTACACGACACTCAATATATTAAGTACATGTATTATCATTTACCGGAAATAACATTATTTACCTGAGCCGCCTTCTTCTTAACTAAATATTCCGTATCTATGTTCGGCATAGATTTCGTTGGCCAGTTTTGAGCTATCTTCAACTTGATGTTTCTTTTCGCGCCGGCCGCATAAAGCGCTTGGAAAACTTGTTCACCCTGTTTAATAAAAATTGTATCTTGATCCAGCAGTCATAAAGTATCTTTTAGAACGATTAAATGATCGATTATTTTTCGTTTCGCATTCGGAAGACGTTATTACGACGATATTAATTTGGAAGTCGTCGTGGCTTAAAGGATAAGACGGCTGCTTTACTGCACCGTGTAAAAAAAGCGAATTCATAAAAAAAATAACAACACTGCGTAATATACTAAATTTAATTTGCTGGTGGCAGGACCTCTCGTGCGCCCGCACGGGTAGGTACCACACCATCTTGCCTATTTCAGCCGTGAAGCACTAATGCTTTTCGGTTTGAAGGGTGGGGCAGCCGTTGCAACTATACAGATACCTTAGAACTTATATCTCAAGGTGTGTGGCGCATTTACGTTGTAAATGTCTATGGGTTCCAGTAACCACTTAACACCAGGTGGGCTGTGAGCTCGTCCACCCTTCTATGCAATAAAACACAAAAAAAACTATGCAATTGAGACGTAGACCTTAAGTCTAAAGGTTGGTCGCGGCATGCACGTTCTCACGTCTATAAGACTCCGGTAACGATTAGGTTGTTAGACAATGAGCTGTAATACCCCAACTGAGCAATAAAAACAATGTGTAAGACAAAGAAAAAAATTACGTACTGACACCATGTATTTAGATTTATATTCGTGATAATGATGATGTAAAGCTCACCTCTATAGAGGAATTATAAGGATACTCTTCGTTAAACCTAAGGGTCCAATAAAAAGACGCTATCTCTATTTTACTTTGAGCTTCATCTATTAAATCTAACCACACGTTCTTCGTGGGGAGATGCGTCGAGTTAGGCGGGTACATGTGACCCTCCGGTATGCTTTCGACTAACGATAACCTGAAAACGAAACGAATCTGTCATATTGAATTAACAACAAAGCATAATTAAATCGCCAGATAAAATGACCAGAATTTTACTGAGATTATATTTCATCCCATTTAATCTCAACTCATTTCATTTAATTTCATCCCAGTTGATTACTGTCTCAAATTAATCATCTTCATTTCATTTCACTCCATATTATCATTTTTCATAAAAATATCCCATATCTTATCATTTTATTTCATTTAATTTCATTTCATACTATGTTTCGTATTAATCAACTTCATTTCATAATATAATATTTTATAAAAAAAAAGATTAGGCTGTATGGTATGATACCTTTGCCTTTCGATTTGGAAAAATAAAACTACTACTACTACTCAGTTTACAGTCTTCGATTTTGGAACATTCTAGACATGACAACTATTAGATACTTTTTTTTTAAGATATGATCATATGCGGAGCTCAGAATATACCTGGTGTAAAGCATGCATCGATTGACTTAATAAGCGAATAATATGTTTTGTTCACGTTAAGGTAATTTTTATCATAACTCTAACGGTATTGAGAACGAATTCTTTCCGCCCAGGAGCAGGCAAAGTACGAACATAAAAATAAACTAAAAGAACACAATTCGTTCGGAAGTAAACCATTTTTTTCCGAACGAATTATGTTCCTTTAGTTCACCAGACGGGCTGTGGAATGTCAAGGTGTAAATTTGACATTCACATTATGTGTCCGACACAGTAAGTCTGTCCACAAAAGTTCGGAAACATTAAAATGTATTTTTTTTTTTTGTCGAATAGACCATGTTTAATGAACACAAAAAATATTCTTGTTAATTTTCAAAGGATTTTATTTTAAACGTTAGCTGTTTAGAATTAGAATCCGATGAACTAAAGTCGGAAATTGAAAAATAAAATTATAATGACAGTACAAACACGTCCCAGGGTTTGTATTAACTGTCGCGTATGTTGCACTGTGACTGCCACTTTACGTCTGAGGCGGTGATATTCAGTTTGCGGAAATCGGGCCGTCGTGTATTCGATGGTCTATTAATGCTGGTAAAAAAAAGCGACTCCGATTTCATATTGTGATAGGAGTTTGCAGGAATATTGGTACATCTCTAGTACATTCAAAAACGGTTATTTCTCTGCTAGCTTTTGTTTACGTTGTTAATGTTTGAAATCATCAATCAAACTTTTATCGAGTCATTCTGCGGTATCATTACCACAATGAAAATAACCACGTGATTAATCAATGTTGACCTTGTGTTTTCAAACAGACATTTAACTGGAAATTTCTAAGCAAACACCACACAGGTGTGTATACAAATATTTCCTTCGTGGTTTAATTTGAAAATTATGGCGTTATTTAATCCTGAAAAAAAAAAAGAATCGGAGCATAGAAATTTAGATTTACGTGACGAAATTACACTCATACAAAAAGAAATGATATTATTGAGAAAATAAGCATAATATAATGTTGATGTTTTTTTATAGAAAAGTGTGGATTCGCAATGCTCTCGATAAAAGTCTGTTTGGCTTTTTGTTTATAATAGAATTTCATAGATGTAACAGTTCAATTTAAGGGATATTTATTAGTAAAGAGTAGGGAGTCCTTTTTTTTTATTGCTTACATGGTTGAACGAGCTCACAGCCCACCTGGTGTTAAGTGGTTACTGGAGCCCATAGACATTTACAACGTAAATGCGCCACCCACCTTGCGATATAAGTTCTAAGATCACAGTATAGTTATAGCGGCTGCCCTACCCTTCAAACCGAAACGCATTACTGCTTCACGGCAGAAATAGGCAGGGCGGTGGTACCTACCCGCGCGGACTCACAAGATGTCCTACCACCAGTAATTACGCAAATTATAATTTTGCGGGTTCTTAGGGTAGAACCCTCCATAATGAAAACCTAAATCAAACAAAATTACCGAAATCAAATGTTACTTTATTCTGTGTGTAACGAAACGTAAAATTCTAGAAATAATTTTCATAGTAAAATAGACGGTAGTTGACAAAATATTAAAATGTCGGCGAATAATATCTATCTTCGGGGCGATCACGGAAACTGTAAAGAACCTATTCAAAACGTCGTGTTTTTTTTTTGAGTGACTTTACAAGTTTCCTTGTGTTTGATATCGCCGAGTCATAAGCGCACCACGGCAAAATCGCAACTCCATTTCATCCTTACGTTTCCCGAAACAACATTATTCGAAGTCGCGTGTTTTGCGATTCGCATGAAAACGAGTCGTTAGCATAAAACGAAAATTTGTCGTTTCAAAACGATACAGCTGTTATACAATTATGCTATACTAGCGGCCCGCTCCGGCTCCGCTCGGGTCTTTAACAAAAATTTCAACGATATTTGAAGTTGTTTTATTTTTTTAAATAAAATATACACTTATTGCGGCATAATTACAATAGTTAGACATATGCTGTTTCGACACTTTTTGTAATTAATAATGTGTTCTACAAAGTCGTGGTACATTATTTTATTCTATCATCAATAGTTTTCGCAGGGCACGCGATGTAAAGAATATTTTAAGAAATTTTTTTACAGCTTGGGTTACATTATTGGAGTTTTAGTAAAGATCCCAAATTTTTTTCAAAAAAGATTATAGCCTATGTCACTTAGGAATAGTGTAGCTTTCAAACAGTGAAAGAATTTTTCAAATCGGTTCAGTAGTTTCGGAGCCTATTAAATACAAACAAACAAACAAATCTTTCCTCTTTATAATATTAGTATAGACTATATTTTGATTGCGGTGTTTTCGTTGTTCTAATTTCGGTAAAACGTAATCGTCTATTTGTCGAATTCGCGTAATTCATGGTGATTAACAAGCGCAATCTAAACTTTCGATCTAGACAGACAACATTATTATTGGCGAATAATAATATTTAATATTTTTCATAATTGAGAGCAACTAACTGCTTTGAAGACACAATAACACAAAAACTATTTCAGCAGATGGCGTTATTAAGCCACCCGAAGCCAATGAGTGTTTGGTTTAAGTTTAGACCAAGAAAATACATAGGCGGCACTGAAAATTTCGGGAATTAACGAAGTGACACAACATTACTATTTAAAAATGTATTTATTGCTTTTCGAAGTATTCTCCGCGAAATTTGACAAATTTTTCCATACGATGGAACCAATCATTGAAGCAACCGTTCCATTCGGAAGTTGGGGTCTCCAAAATGGCCGTTTTGTAGGCGTCCACAGCTTCTTCAGGTGATGAAAATCTCTGTCCACGCAATTTATTCTTTATTTTAGGGAAAGTATAGAAATCATTAGGGCTTAGGTCGGGGCTGTACGGCGGATGGTCTAATAATTCTATGTTTTCTTGCTCTAAAAACTCTTTTGTTCTGTGCGCGGTGTGAGAACTCGCATTGTCGTGATGGAGGATGATGCGGCGGTTGCAGTTCTCTTTATGGAGTTCAGAAACGACCTGTGGCAAACAAATGCTAGCATTTTTTTTATTTTTTTTTATTGCCTTTGTAGGCAGACGAGCATACGGCCCACCTGATGGTGAGTGGTTACTGTCGCCCATGGACTTCAGCAATGCCAGGGGCAGAGCCAATACCTTTCTGCAATAACCGTTCTTTGTCCCTCAAGAGGAATAGTCGTAACATGGCCGGTTTTGGAGACAAACGTGGCCACCATTTTTTTTGCAACACTCCGTGAACGAACAACTTTTGTTGGCTTTAACTCATTTTCGAACACCCAAACTCGTGACT